ATTTCGAGGTCCGGTTTTATATAGAATCAAATGACCCATAAGATCAACAGAAACCACATAGCTTGACCAGCGAAGGTGACCAGCGGGGAAAGTGGAGACGCCCCTCATTTCACAAGGCCATTGATGTAGGCTGTGCCAGGGTTGGGGGGTATGCTACTGAAAACACACTCAGCGTCAGCGTCTCAGTCCCTGCATTAAACAAGTACATTGTTGGAGACCTAGATTTTACCTATTTCCAATTGTCATAATAGTAACAGCCTACCAAGGACTGTATGTATTAGACCGCCTCCGTGGTCCAGTGGTAGAGCGTCCGCCCGGAAAGCGGAAGGTCCGGGGTTCGATCCCCAACCGCGTCATACCAAAAGACGTTTAAAGATGGTAATTGTTGTTACCCTGTCTGGCGCTCGGCATTAAGGTACTAAAACAAGGACTGGTCGGTTCGGAGTCAGTATACTGTGTCTGAGTGGGGTATTCATGTTAAACTGCGGCATGGTATCTCAGTGAGCTAGCACTATAAATCGGGATCAGTCCGGACTAGTACAAGCAGCCACACAAACACACACGTACATGCACGTGGCTATATAAGTGCAATAATCTTGGTCGCGACGTTAAACCCCATTTCACCTCACCTTACCTATATGTATTAATTGACCTTCCTGTTTTACTTCAAAGAATACCAGACTTGCAAAACAGTGTCTCACTGTAACACATCATATGATAACTGTTTGGTTGGCATTCTAGAAGTTGGTGATTAAGAAAACGTACAACTATGGATAACAGCTTTTGGTATATAACATATAATGTTTCGATGAGATCCTTATACCGTTACTCCAACTTGATAACGGTGTGAGAATCTACATAGAAACGTCGCTATATACGGTAAACCAGAAGTTGTAATCCATACAATTTTACGTTTTCTTACACTATAAGATGTCAGTGTTAGAGAAATAATAATATCACTGTTTATGAAACACACATATAAAAACGATCGCACGCATGCGTGTGTTTGTTCCTTTTGTGTGTATACATGGACATTGACTCTTCTTTAGCTTGTGCGTAATATGCATTAATATGCTTGTTATTTTATAAATCTGGTTCTATTCGTCTAATCTCTCATGCCGCCACAACTTTATTGTATAATAGTTAAATCTCCAGCCGTCGCTCTGATTAACACATTGTCTGTGTCATTACATACTGTGACGTAAGTATGACCCGTGTACACTGGTCAGTTGACCTCGAAACAAACATTCATGTCCTAACTTGACCTCCGTGTGGACTTATACATGTAGGTCAAGCATATATAAACACCCGTCAGGTAATGACACCGATTACAGTCCACCGTGATGGATTATCTATAATCTCTGACAAGCCACCAGATCAGGTAGATTTCTGATCATAGGCAATTAACCCTTATCACTTTCTTGAACGCTGTAAGTCGGAACCGTTGATCTGTGAGTATACATTCAGTACATCGTGGATTGATAACTTGACAACATGGACGGTGCTCTGGCGCACACGTTCACGTAAAATAATGAAAAAAACACTGGGAAAAAAACCCGACGATTTACTGTCCACGCCCACGCTCAATGTTGAATAGTTGTTGGTTGGTTGGTTTGTTGTTTAACGCCGCACTCAGCAATATTCCAGCGATATGACGGCGGTCTGTAAATAATCGAGACTGGACCAGACAATCCAGTGATTGATATCATGAGCATCGATCCACACAATTGGGATCGATGACATGTATCAACCAAGTCAGCGAGCCTGACCACCCGATCCCGTTAGTCGCCTTTTACGACAAGCATAGTCGCCGTTTACGGCAAGCATGGGTTGCTGAAGACCTATTCTATCCCGGAATGTTCACGGGTCCAATGTTGAATGTTGAATAGATAAAAACGCATACGCCATAAAAGAATCAGCTGATTATCTACCGAAGAAAATTCCATGGGCGTAAAAGGCAAAATAGAGGTGAAAAGTATATGAATTAATTAATTACCTGAAAAAAATTAAAGGTTTTGAATAACTCATATTTTCTGATATCTTAGAAATGGCTCAAACTTGTACCGTGTCGTCGTGGACGGATGGTAATCTGCGCCTCGGTATAGATACGAGCATGCCTTTGAAGCCAGCCGAGCACGCATATATCATATAACTAGTATATATTGCATGTTTGAACCTTAACAGGACTGGGTTCAGAGACCTAGTTGGAACATAGTTTTCCGTAGAACAATATTATACGACAGTTGACGGGTCAACGATTTGATATGAATTGGTTCTTGTATCGTAATACATCCACATTCGTCATCAGACTAAAGACGTGATTATGATAGAGATAAAGAGATTATATCAGGCTCGTCTCAAAATAATGAAGTAATTTACAAAGAAATATGAGATATCAGGACAGATTAAGATTCTCAAATGTGTGTTTGATAGCTATTAACCTGTCTCGTTCAATGCCATCATAGACGAATTATTGAGTGATCATATTTTGTATATTTGTTGTAAATGTTAAATACCTTTTGCTTGGCTCTCAAGAGTATGAAGTTGCCTTCGTGATTAAATATCATAGATCCACGTACAGACCTTTGTAATGTTAACACGCAACTTAGATTGTATCTGTGGTGCGCGGCACCATCGCGTTTGTCACTTCAATAATATACCTATTTCACTTGAAACCCTCTGTGTCATAGCGCCATGAATTATTTAGATCACAGATGACAAAAGACATACAAGACCCTACGGCTTTTTCACAATGGTTTGTTCTCACATATCATAAATATGCAACCATACCCAAACCAACCAGTTGCGACAAGACAAAGGCATTAACGGACCACAATACGATTGTACGGTTCGCCGGGCTTACGTTGAAATCGCCGCCTCAACGTGGAGGGTCATGCGTTGGTAGATGTCAATGGATTTGTACAGAGCTGGTTCTGATTGCTTTGTCCAACTTTCGCAGCCAAAACAAGAAAGTTCACTTTAATCTCCTGCCTCCTATTTCTCCTGGCCCCGTAAGTAGTTTCACGGTAGGTATCGGGTGATATATCACTGCGAAGCTCAGAGGCGTTCTGTTTCCCGAATGTGCGCTTTATTGTGCTTGTAGATCAGTGTTATTTTTACCCGTGCAGGTAAAATCAGTACGTAACTTAAATACGCTTGGAAGTTAATGGTATGAAAATGAGTATCTTCACGTAAAAAGGTGTTCTTTGATATTTGAATCGGTGAAGGATTCGCTTATACGTCATAACATTGTCACGTGTTTCAAAACGCAATGTAATAGTGTGAGACATATTATTGTTATGAAGATATGGCTATTTTTAATAATAGATTACGGCGGTATGAATCCAACAATTTGTCCAGGTAGCATTTTGTAAGGACGCCTCTAGTTTCATAAAATTCCTCTTTTACTCGAACTTCTAAAACTCGACGTATGACTAATGACGACGTATAACACCCGGTAACGTCACTATTTGATAGTGATTCATTTAATAGTGATTCATTAACACATGCTTATAGTATTGTCGGAATCTACTTTTAGTATGGTTTTCGTATTATTATTGAAATGTTTTTTTTTATTTTTTATTTTTTTGAGATGGCGTTACATGCTCCTGTTGTATTTGTTTTGTTTTGGCCTCACACGATTAACCGTTGTATGCAAATATGTAACAGTTATATTTGTGTGATATTGAAGATATCGAGGCAGTTCTTTTTGGAAAACACAGTATTTTTCATTTTCCATTATATCCTGATAGAAATACATTACGTAATATGGCTGTACCCTGTTTAAAGTCATCATTTGTAACTGAATACACTGAAAGATTATTCATGTTAAAAAATCGTGGTGATATGATGTAAATGCATATGTAAAACAAACTTGTACTGGTAGGATTGTACTGGTTATGGACCGGTTGGCCTTTAAACAATAGTTTGGTTTGGTTTGTTTGTTGTTTAACGCCGCACTCAGCAATATTCCAGCTATATGACGACGGTCTGTAAATAATCGAGTCTGGACCAGACAATCCAGTGATTGATATCATGAGCATCGATCCACACAATTAGGATCGATGACATGCATCAACCAAGTCAGTGAGTCTGACCACCCGATCCCGTCTCCTTACGACAAGCAAAAGCCGCCTTTTACGGCAAGCATGGGTTGCTGAAGATCTATTCTACGTGAAGATCCGGGGTAGAATAGAACCAACCAACCAACCAACCAACAAACCAACAAACCAAATCATGAAGGCTGGCTAGACTGAAGTCTGGAGGTATCACATAAAAACTGCACTTGACTGCACCACAGATCATTTATGTTTAACGTTAGACGTTAATAGACCCAGGGCATGTGTTATGAAGCACGCTGTATTCGACTGTATATTAAGTGTGTGATTACCCCAAGGAGGTGTGCTTGACCCCGCTGTCTTCTCAAGTCCGCCCGAGTGTCTCGTCACTCAACTTTTAATAATATATATAAGTTTGAACGTCGAAATGAAGCACCCTTTTCTCAACGATATACATGTGCGTAACGGTTAAGTATGCCATGATCGATGACGGGTATTACAATGTGTCAGTGTGTGGCAATTAACGGCATATGAAGTAGTCTGTCATGTGTGTATTGTACGGTGTATTATGTTTGTTTGTTTGTTGTTTAACGCCGCACTCAGCAATATTCCAGCATTATGACGGCGGTCTGGACCAGACAATCCAGTGATTGACACTATGAGCATCGATCTATGCAATTGTGATACGATGACCATCAACCAAGTCAGCGAGCCTGATCACCCAACTCCGTTAGTCGCCTCTTACGAGAAGCATAGTCGCCTTTTACGGCAAGCATGGGTTGCTGAAGACCTATTCTACCCCGGATCTTCACGGGAATTATTATTACACACATGTACGCATGTCATCTATATATATATATATATATATAGATATGTATATATATTACTAACTGTATGAGTAGATTCGTGTATGAGTGAGTGACTCTGGGCGTCTTGTTTCAGGAGTTGGCGGTCATCACCAGGAGCCGGCGTCAAGCCACTGTCAGCACCCACACTCCCACGGAACTGCTGTGTATATCGGCAAAGGTACGTTTCATGGTCAATGGGGTACTGACGAAAAACAATGCAACAAACTTTTAGTTTTAGTTGCAAAATTGGTGTTTTTGAGTTATGACCAAGGACAGGAGTGCATTATTAAGATTTGCATAACATGTTAATGTAATTGTATTCTTGAATTTGAATTCGTGAATTATGTTTTAAACAATAGCAGATGAAAATCTGATTTAGGTTACAAGCCAAACCGACACATCACCCAAAAATAAAATTGAGAGATAAGTGTCTCTATTTTCCTATTTCCTATCACAAAAAGAGATTGGTAAATTTTGATATCAATGTGAAAATACTGGCATTGGCAGATACCACAAAACATGTGGTACAATTACAAACTACCCATATGATTAATGCAATGCCCATCTATTGTTATTTCAGGATTTTGAGGACATATTTATGGCTGGAGGAATGCAGAACTTAAACGACCCAGATCACATCTCCTTTATCAGGTAAAGACATCATCTGTTGAGAAAAGTTATCTTCTGCTGACACCGGGGTGGAATAAACATCATTCAATGTGTTTTTACGCCACAGAATGACGTTTTCCCCCTGAATTAGGGCTGCATAGAAACAATTGATGGCTGGGGACCTGATCTGATCAGGTTTCCCCACAAGATGTTCCCCGTAACAGATGGGGACCTGATCTGATCAGGTTTCCACACAAGATGTTCCCCGTAACAGCTGGGGATCTGATCAGGTTTCCCCACAAGGAGTCTCCCTTGATATTGGTGGGGACTCATTCTGACCAGGGCCCAGTTGCACAAAGCGATCTTAGCGCTAAGATGATCGTAACTCCCATACTTAAGCATAGGCTTACAATAGTCTTAGCGCTAAGATCGTTTTGTGTAAGTGGGCCCTGGTATCTCACCCTTGTAAAGCCAATGCACACAGGTGGACACTGAGAAAGGTAACACTAGGCAGTATCAGAAGGTTCCAATACTCACTTGACTGTCACCAGGTGTAGTGGTATAGCCTGTTAGTATTTCCACTGTGGGACAATGATTAGAGTTGACACACCCTTAGAAATTGGAGTTTAACATGACACGTTCATTAGAATCGTGTCTTAAAACAAAATTCGACGAGTCTGTATTTGTGTGCCATTCAATTTCGGGAAACACATAGAGGCATGGAGACACCCAGAAGAAATCTACCCGAGGTAGTCTTTGTAAGTATTTCAATCTCTATAGGAGAAATGGTGGCCATTTCAATTGTAGAGATGGGTCATGTTCAACACGGTGGAGTGTCAGACTCGGTGCGCGAGGTGAGGTGAAATGGGGTTTAACGTCGTTAATGTGGCTGCTTGTACTAGTCCGGACAGATGCTGATTTATAGTGCTAGCTCACTGAGATACCATGCCGCAGTTTAACATGAATACCCCACTCAGACACAGTATACTGCCCCTGAGCCGACCAGTCCTTGTTTTAGCCCCTTAACGCTGAGGGCAAGACAGCGTAACAACAAGTACCATCTTTTAATGTCTGTTGGTATGACGCGGCCTCAGTGGAAGTATTGTCTGGCAGTTCTTTCACATTCAGAAACAAAAAAACGCCCAACCAGAACAACAATTTTCATTATTTAACTTCTCTAAGTGATTTATTTAGTTGGTGTCTGTAAAACCTCTCCACTGCATCCACTCTGAAATCTGCCGTCAATGTAAGAATACATAAGAAATGCCTCTCACTTTGAATTATCAATTCGTACAAACATGTCTATTACATTCCGTTGTAACCGCTACAATTGTACTCTAACAGATGTTGTTGTAAGACAGACCTAGACACTGCAGAACTTTGCTTTCTTCTTTGGAGATTGAGAGGTACCTATTTGTAGTGGCGTGTTTACCGCAGTATTACTGCACTGTTACCACACGATAACTGTGTTTATTCAATACGCCGCTACCGAGTGATGACCCAGCTGGTCTGCCGTATATTTTTTCAAACGATTCGATTTTGCAGTTTTAATTGATAGCTGATGGAAATATTTCGTTCTCAAAATCGTATGAGTGCCTGGTTTAAGGTTATTTGCTAAATGGAAGTTAGTATTGGAAACGGCTGAGGGCTATAAATTATCCTATCTTATCTTTCTGTAGATTAATTGAAGGGGAGCACTTCAAAGAGCACCAATATGGTCACTGGTCGTACTTAAAACATTGTATATGGATTAATGAATGTACCTTTTGAACTGAGGTCGGGCCTCGTTCTATCTTATTACTCTTAGTCGAGGTTAACTAGATCGTCAGCTGGTTATTATTGCTTGATGGCAATACCACTGCTTATAGTGTATTCCTTTGACTTTTTAAAAGTATTATATCCTCAAATATATACTTTTAGTGATGTGAAATAATTATTTTGTAACAGTAAGTCGTTTCTGGTCAGTGCCAAGTGAAAATCATGTGAGAGAAAAGATTTTAATGAAATAATTACATGGATTGTGAGGTGAGGTGAGGTGAAATTAGGTTTAACGTCGCATCCAAGATAATTGCACTTATATAACGATGTGCATGCACGTGTGTGTGTGTGGCTGCTTGTACTAGTCCGGACTGATGCCGATTTATAGTGCTAGCTCACTGAGATACCATGCCGTAGTTTAACATGAATGCCCAACTCAGACACAGTAAACTGACTCCGAGCCGACCAGTCCTTGTTTTAGCCCCTAATGCCGAGCACCAGACAGGATAACAACAAGTACCATCTTTTAACGTCTTTTGGTATGACACGGCCGGGGATCGAACCCCGTACCATCCGCTTTCCGGGCGGACGCTCTACCACTAGGCCACGGAGGTGGTCACATGGATTGTGACCCAGTATATTTATAGGTTATATTTGTAGTGAGTGAGTGATTGATTGAGTGAGTTTAACGTCCATTGGAACAGTTTATCACGGTGTGTCAGCTTACTGTGGGAGGAAAGCCCGACATGATGCAGGTCTCAGACGTTTACTATTTTGGCGAAACACACGAGCACGGGTATGGTGCTGACAATCGTATATCAGGTCGAATTTTATATCCAGCATGTGACTATTGAGTGACGGTAGGTTATTGATTACCTGTCACATACATAGTGGTCTGGTTATAGGCTGTGGTGACGAACACAAAACGCTTCTAGTGGGTACATATATTTCGCATTTTCGAGTTCTAATTGTTTTTTAACTCTATTTTTGTAGTTGATTGGAGAAAAATGATTCCTTTAACATAACTCAGATCACATGACTGCATAACAAATACAGAGAGAGAGAGAGAGAGAGAGAGAGAGAGAGAGAGAGAGAGAGAGAGAGAGAGAGTTAGTTGCGTTGTTGTGTGATTGTGAGACAGAGTGAGTCTGTGTGTTTGTGTGTGAATCAGTGAAAATGAGTGTACGTGCGTGTGCGTATGCGTGAATGTTGGTTGCGTGGGCGTGCGAGTGTAACTGATTGAGTCTGTGTGTTGGTGTGTGAATCAGTGAAAATGAGTGTTCTTGTGAAAGTATTTGAATAGTAGTACAGTTATGACGAGGCCTTCAGTTTAATGTAATCTGGGAAACCTTGGAATCGAACCCCAGACCGTCGGATCATTGCCAAGGGACGTAACTATTAACAGTAATTTACGCTATAGACAACTAGGAACCCTAAATACCAAGATTAGTTGTGCTACCAAGTGATAACTACACACGGAGACATATAAAGACAGAACCATTCATTATCAGGAATCCGACACTGCCAAGATGATTAACGTACCACAGTGTTATCGTGTCAACTATCATGATAACGCCCGTCAAGCAACGTGACAGGCCGCTTTACACCCAACCCAATTGCAGCCATGTGTAGCCAGAACGCTTTGCACGGATCACACGTGCTTTAACCCCTCTCCAAGTGAGTGACACTGCGAATGAGTCACGTGGTGTCGGAAAGTAGCTACAGGTCACGTGATCACAGATTGGACACCGCAGGGGAGACAAGTGGTTCTCGAAGGTGATGCGGGTCAACAAGGGTTAGATACGCGATGTTGAATAATTGATATGACATTGAATGAATGACAAGAAATTGCATGTGCATGACGAATCGTGTCGGGGTAGGGCTTGAAGAGACTAGATGCCAGTGTGAAGCGTCAATAAGACAATATTTGAACGAGATTAAAGTGTATGAAAGGTGTCATATATCACTCTTGACTATTTATGATATTGTAAACGTGCGTTGTGCATGCCTCCCTTGCTAAGATACTCCGAATCGTCAGCTGAATACTTAATATCCCAACACACTCAAATTGTAAATATTATTGTTACCTTTCTAGAAATTCGATAACGAGTTTTTAAACGATAACATCCACAATCGCCCCGTGGATTCAAAGTGCAGTATAAAACGTAAACGCCAGAGAATAACCAGTCTCGATTATCCGACGAAACAGACTCAATTGGACGTAAAAGGCAAAATAGCAGTGACAACTATATGAGTGACTGGCTGACTGAGTATGGGTTTACGCCGCTTTTAGCAATATTCCAGCAATATCACGGCGGGGGACACCAGAAATGGGCTTCACACATTGTACCCATGTCGGGAATCAAACCCGGGTCTTCGGCGTGACGAGCGAACGCTTTAACCACTAGGCTACCCGACCGTCCCGACAACTATATGAATGGATCACTGAAAAGCAGTGATGACATCAGGTTAAAAGGGTAAGCATGTCCTGTCCTACCTGTAGCACCGCCACTCAAACAATTTGCATAAAATGAAATGTGATGCTACCTGAGACGAGTTTTGTATCCACATATCAACATGGCTGTCTTGGCGGCCATATTGACGAATCAGATGGTTTCACTTTCGTTAGTAACGAGAATGAAGAATGCTCAACAATTTTACCACCAAATTCGGCCCGCCTTATAGCAATACAACATGTATATGATAAATATAACTCATATTTGATGCTTTATAAGAAAACCAAAACCAACTGTATTTCTTATGTTCCCTTTCGTCAAATAACTGACTGAACAAACAATCCTTTTCAGTCTACTCTCGCCATGCAAACAAATAACAGTTTATACATACATAAATCAACTCGAGGGAATATCTCTTGGCTATGATAACAATTATGGCGCTGTTCGACAGCTAATGTTAGCTCTTGGTATATAAAAATCACCACAATGAAGGATATAAATTTACTGGGCACTGAAAAGAATATAATTTGTTGCGTATATCATGTGAATAGCTTATCCGGGAGATATATTATCCTGGTGCTTCTAATGAATCTTCTTTTGGCAAGTTCTACATGCTTGGATTATTTAAACTCGTGAACTTCGTTGTGCTCAGTTTTCGTCTGGTTTCGACTTAAGATAGTGTTTTGTATCGTATAGAGCCATTTGGCTTCACGCGATCACTGTCAGAGAATATCTTCTGTTGATATGGCGAGTTTGATAACAAAATAAATAAAACCCGTTTAAGCACTACGTGATGAGAGGGTTTTAATTTCATGGCGTTTAACTGAAATACGATCAGACAAGTTTACTCATCGAATCATCACACGTGTATATTAAAGTTTCTATGATTTGTAACATAGCGTTAACAAGATACAGCGTTCGAAAAAGAGGGGACCATTTACTCGAGTAGCCCGCAGAATGGGGTCTCGTGTGCTCCAAATCTCTGGTCCCATTCAGCCTGAAGCATAGGCTTGAGTGGAGAGTAGTGTTAACATGGGCACCTTATGGAGAGTCTGCCACATCAAGGAGACTGGGCATGGGGTAGTCCCCCGTAGTCTGGCGATTGCACCCCCTCGTCTTGAGATTGCACCCCCTCGTTCAGGCTCGCGACTTTCGTCTGCTGTCCCACAGCAACATTAGACAGGGTCCCCTGTCGCTGGGCCGGGTCTACTCGCGTGCAGGAGAGCTGTCTTTTGTCTCAACTTGAATGAGGTAGCCGACTGGAGAGCATTCCGATATGTGATTGACATATCAGATAAAAAGCTGACTCGAATGGGTAGGACAAATTGGGAGAAGATTAATCGAGAAATAAGTGAGGATTGTGGTGGATAACTTGAGTATCCGAACTTGCAGTGCTTGCAGTACAATCAATACTGTCGTCAGTCCCGCCACTACTCACGGAGCAGACGACAGTCAGTGCCAAAAGAAACATGGATGACAAACTTGTGAAATTCTGTTCCAGGAGTGTTGGATTTTTGCGTCACTGGCCAGTTGAAATCCTGTCCGAGTATCACCAAGCCTGTATGTTTCATTACTTCAAGTAAGTGACTATTTGTTTGTTTATAGTGTCTCAGTAACAGTTTTTCATTACATTGATTCGGTGACGGCTCTCTCCTATGTGGGGATAGCCATCGATAGCATATTTATAGCATATAGCATAGCATGATTCGGTTGTTAAAGTATAATAATTAATAATGGTTTAACTTAAAGTATAATTCTTAATATTGGTTCAACCGCCGTCACATAATATTGCCGAGTGCGGCGTTAAACAAACAAACAAACAAACAAACAAACAATAATGGTTTACATAAAGTGTTTGTTTTTTCTGGGGTAATCTTTACAAACATACAGAAGTTACAAATGACCCAAGCCCCCCCCCCCCCCCCACACACACACCCGTTTTAAATTCCTGGATCCACCCTTGGCATATTAAAAGCGATACGTACGTATCCCATTTCCACCTGTAGGTTTGATCTGTTAAAAAAGAATAATATTATCCGTTGTAGAGTGTATTTATGTACACAGAACAGTATATATTTCTTTTTTAAAAGTTCTATGCTAAATGTATACGTGTTTTATTAGGTATAGGTTTCGGTGTTTCCGAACTGTTACTATAATATGTGGGTCGTATTAACACGGTACTCAACATAGAAGTTGTAGGTCTTTGACTGTCACAAATTTATATATGACAGAATTCGATGAAATCGGAATAACAATTTGGAAAGTGATTATCTTGATATTAATTATGATTATCATTGTGTGTCTGAAAACTTCGGGAAGGGGAGGGACATCTACTGAGTGAGTGAGTTGGTTGGTTTTTATGCCCATTTTGCAATATCCAGCATTATTATGGCGGTGCTCACCGACAGTGGGCTTCACACACCCGGGTTCGATTCCCGACATGGGTACAATGTGTGAAGCCCATTTCTTGTGTCCCCTGCCGTGATATTGCTGGAATATTGCTAAAAGCTGATCGAACCTGTGCTTCGAATTCGGCATGACGAGCTAACGCTTTAACAAGTAGGCTCCAACGGGCCCTTTTATTATAAACGGAGGTACAATTCAAGTCATCACTTCATTATAGATATGTACAACATACAAGAACAATATATGTCAATAATATTCAACTGAAAAGTTTTAAATATTTAAAACAGATCACTATTACGGATGCAGAAATAATTGATACATGCCTACATACCAAAGAATGCTACTGTATCTAATGGCATTACAACGACTTAAACATTCATAGGGTGTGGTATGATTAAACTTTTATCTGACCTCTTAACTCAACAAGCTATTTAAACTGACATCAGACTGATTTGTTTATGTTCATGGTTGCCAGGGTTGTGTCCCACCTTGAAAAATCTAGTCAGCCCTGGATAAAGGGTGTATAATAGCAAGATAAAAACCGACAATGTTAAACCGTCTATTTTTTATTTCTTTACACATCATTTGTCTTGCAAACATAATCTTATCATAAACAGATACGAAAGGATAGATTATCTTCAGTTAGTGTTATGCAGACCGGAAATGACGTCATTTATTGCGTTCCCAAGGGTAAAATCCGCCTTTTATCACACCTCGCAATATTGCCAATATCCTTATCTGGGATTGCATATATTTCCGCTTTCTGCTCTCCAAACAATGATTGTGCTCTTAAGACGGACTTAGGCCGGATCGAAGCAAAGAAACAGTATTGATCTTACGCTATGATCGCATATTTATACCGTATGGGGATTAGCGTTCTTTGGGGATGTAAGCCGATGTAAGAGGGGGCAGAGGCATTGAGCTTTCTGTGTGGAAATTGAGTTGACCTCGATACCACGCAGAATAGATCTTAGGGTCTATTTTGCTTATAATTTTGTCTGATAGGAAGTGAGGATTATTGGCACTCAAACTTTTTCTTGTTACAGATTCGACTTTTATGCCGTTGTGTTTAATTTGTCGAGTCTGATGTTATTAACTTCGTAGGCGTGGAATTATAGTGTGATACATAAAGGACTTTTCACATATACACCGCAGTGAGTGAGTGAGTGAGTGTTTCGCCGCTTTTAACAATATCCCTGCAATATCACGACGATGGACACCAGAAACGGGCCTCCAAATTTGACGCAACAGTGACAAAAATAATGTCCGATGCAATTCCCTATTTTCAGGTGAACACTTGACTTGACTTTGCATGTGTTTGTGACGGGTGCCACCGATGGGGCAGGATACGCTCACCTTTTCGCGAACACCTGGTATCATTACTATTTGATAGTGATTCATAAACACATGTTCATGATATAGTCGGAATCGTAGAATCGACTTTGCTTTATGCATATATTTCTATTGGAGATGGAAAGGGTTTTGTCGCTTTATTCACACATTGTACCCATGTGGGGCATCGAACACAGCCAAACGAACGTTTTTACCACTTGCTACCCTACCGCCCCTACACAGCGTGAAACCTTGTAGAGACCATACCACACACCCGAGCTTTCCCCGAATAGGTTTAAAAATCCATATAAGTATTAAGTTCCAGTCTTATTTGATGTCACTAGAAACGTACGGAAGCCTTTTTAGGGCCATGTGTTTTTTAATTTTTTTTCGATACTATCTTGAAATTTCAAGATACTTAGTTGAAATTTCAAGAAACTAAGTTGAAATTTCAAGATACTAAGTTGAAATTTCAACTTAGTTTCTTGAAATTTCAAGATAGTATCTTAACATTTCAAGATACTAAGTTGAAATTTCAAGATACAGAAGTTGGAATTTCAAGATGCTATCTTGGAATTTCAAGATACTAAGTTGAAGTTTCAAGATACTAAGTTGAAATTTCAACTTAGTTTCTTGAAATTTCAAGATAGTATCTTAACATTTCAAGATACTAAGTTGAAATTTCAAGATACAGAAGTTGGAATTTCAAGATGCTATCTTGGAATTTCAAGATACTAAGTTGAAGTTTCAAGATACTAAGTTGAAATTTCAAGATACTATACTTCTATTTCAAGAAGTTGAAATTTCAAGATACAGAAATTGAAATTTCAAGATACTAAGTTGAAATTTCAAGATACTATCTTGGAATACAAGATACTATCTTGAAATTTCAACTTAGTTTCTTGAAATTTCAAGATAGTATCGAAAAAAACAAAACCAAAAACAAAAACAAATGGCCCTAAAAGGCTTCCGTAAGAAACGAGTGATAACATATTATTTTATGCTGCTGTCCATACGCCAGCTATTTATGTAAGATAATCCAGTCTATGCCGTGTAAACAAATCATTGTCTTCATGAGCAGTGATCCATGCTTTCGGGGAGCAATCACTTCAACGACACAGAGTCAGCCTGGTCACACATTGTCGTCACTCGATCCTCATTTAGTAGGCTTTTACGACTAGTGCAAGGGGCTCACTATACCACCATCTACGAAAGAGCGAGAAACACAGTGCACTCAAACCACGCTTAATGGATATTGACGGAAGGTCATCATCTTAACACGTAATTCATACACCACGGCTTGAGGATAGCCTTGCTCCAAGGCTGTACTGAAAGAAAAGTCCATGGATGTGTAGTAATTCTAACCTCCTAATAGGCAAGTCTTGATACATGGTGTCTAAGGATTCCAGTCTCTTAAAGGGACAACTTGTACTCATCACTTGCTTGATAACGGTGTTAGAATCTACACCGAAACGTCGCTCTTAATTGTTATAAATAAGTTGTTCATCCATAAATCTTATCCTTACTTGTTCTTATTATTTACATCATCTAGAACGTATGATTTAAACTAATATATATTGCCTTAGAGACTTGTGCAGGTCTAGGCTTGAGGTATACTGGTTATATAGACACAAGGACAGCATCTTAACACTGCACGTACTTCGTACAAGACGGTATACAGGGCATCACATCACTCTAACGCGTACTGTATACAAGCACAGAGCATATATATTAATTATAAGGAATATATTTTCAATATATTTGGAGAGAAGAAAACTCACTCGAATTCGTGTCAAATAATTAAATGATATACAAACGGGCAACATACGTAAGGTCTTAACACCCACACACGTCATGAGGGGCGGTTGGGTAGCGTCAGTTCGTCATTCCAGTTGCCCGGTTTCGATTCCCACATGGTTGCAATGTGTGAAACCCATTTCTAGTCCCCCCCCCCCCACCCCCCCCCCCCCCCCACCCCCCACCCCCCCACCCCCACACACACACTCCTCAGCCTTGATGTTGCTGGAATATTCCTAAAAGCGACGTTTAACACAACCCCACTTACTCACACACGTCATAATTAAAGATACCAAATAAAAAAAAAAATTGATTGTCTATTTTCAGACTTGAATTTAAAAACTTAAAAGTTACGGTCGAATTCCCAGTTACGGCAGCTTCATGCTGTATTTCACACCATTAGATATCATCAACCGGCACTTACCTCCAAACTACAAACTAAATTAATATTACCACCCTTAAGGCAGGAAGGGGTTAGTAATGTACATTTCTTATTAATTCGATATTAATCACCTCCTGTGGCGAGAGATTCCTAATGTACATAGCATATCCGTAAAGTCGCCGGCATACAATGCCCATATACACCGCAACGTGTAAACCGTCAACGTACAATAGAAACCCACCAGTCAATACTGGCTCATTAATCAGGGAATTAAAAGCGTTGGATCCCCTTTTTGCACGATACCTTTCTATGTGGTGGTAAAGTCATCCGTCACCCAGCTGTACACAATGGCCAAAGAGCCTTGGAAGTAGGTTTCAGGGACTTGGCTCTGTTAGTTAAGATAACGTGACTCGATATTTGATTTTTCACATGCTATGGCTGTGCGGTTTGAACAAAGGCTAAGTGTAAATAGGAAATTGAGATAGCTTGTTTAGACGGCCATTTGCTGACCCATAGATACCCTTGTTTTGGGACACAAGGACTGTTTATGCAATATGCAGTTCTCATTAATCAACGTTATGACAACATTCAATTACGTTAGATCATAATCGGAGACGACGTTAACTACCTTGAGTTATATACTGCACAGTTATTTAGATCGATTTGATAAAAAAGCCTATCATGTTGAGTCTTTGCTTAGTCCCCCTGCCTTTGTGAAGTGAAGATTAATTATACCCTTTCAGTTGTGAATATGGGGCATTTTTATTTGTCAATACTGGGCATTACAGATATATGTTGTTTATGTCAATACTGGGCATTACAGATATGCTTTATTTGCCAATACTGGGCATTACAGATATATGTTGTATATGTCAATACTGGGCATTACAGATATGCTTTATTTGCCAATACTGGGCATTACAGATATATGCTTTATTTGCCAATACTGGGCATAACAGATATATGTTTTGGTTGTCAATACTGGGTACTACAGATATGTTTTATATGTCAATACTGGGCATTACAGATGTTTTATTTGTCAATACTGGGCATTACAGATGTTTTATTTGCCAATACTGGGCTTACAGATATATGCTTTATTTGCCAATACTGGGCATAACAGATATATGTTTTATTTGTCAATACTGGGCATTACAGATATATGTTTTGGTTGTCAATACTGGGTACTACAGATATGTTTTATATGTCAATACTGGGCATTACAGATGTTTTATTTGCCAATACTGGGCTTACAGATATATGCTTTATTTGCCAATACTGGGCATAACAGATATATGTTTTATTTGTCAATACTGGGCATTACAGATAATATGTTTTGGTTGTCAATACTGGGTACTACAGATGTGTTTTATTTAAAATACAGGGCATTACAGATATGTTTTATTTGTCAATACTGGGAATTACATATATATGTTTTATTTCTCAATACTGGGCATAACAGATATATGTTTCATTTGCCAATACTGGGCATAACAGATATATGTTTTATTTGTCAATACTGGGCATTACAGATATATGTTTTGGTTGTCAATACTGGGTACTACAGATATGTTTTATATGTCAATACTGGGCATTACAGATGTTTTATTTGCCAATACTGGGCTTACAGATATATGCTTTATTTGCCAATACTGGGCATAACAGATATATGTTTTATTTGTCAATACTGGGCATTACAGATAATATGTTTTGGTTGTCAATACTGGGTACTACAGATGTGTTTTATTTAAAATACAGGGCATTACAGATATGTTTTATTTGTCAATACTGGGAATTACATATATATGTTTTATTTCTCAATACTGGGCATAACAGATATATGTTTCATTTGTCAATACTGGGCATAACAGATATGTTTTATTTGTTTTATTTATTGAATACTCATCAATTCTCCCAATGATTTGGAGAGTAGTACATGCAATTATATTTCATTACTTGTCAATGGCAATGACAAAATATATATAAATACAACAGATTGAACTGGGTAAACAGAAATGAAGTCATATGCACAAAACTGTATTTATATGATGTGTGACATATTCTCACAAATACAATATGGATGTTAAATTCCATGCTGACATGTTTAGCCACGATACTCATGGATATAGCCAAGCTCACAAGTGTCATGTCCTGGACAACATCTGTAATGGCGCCGATGTATGTCAGAACCTTGTCCTCGAGTCTGAGATAGGTGTCAGGCCTAACATTGTCAATTAGAGACTCACTAAGCCCATTTCTCGTTCCATGAGACCGTCACAGTGCTTACCAATGTCGTCACAATCACAGTCACAAACAGTCCTGATGCCAGGTGTGGTGTGGATGCGCACGATCCTGTCGCCGAAGCAGTTCTTTTTCCCCAGTCTGAGGAACCAATTCTTCGGAAATATATTTTAAATTACCACTTTCACAATCGGCGAGAATCGTTAAACTAGCTTCAGTAATTAGAGGCCTCAAAGTCTCCATCAGATCTAAATATAACTATATCAATTCAACTCAAACACAACTTCAGCGACAGAGAAATGCCCGCTAGACCACTGTCGTGTGAATCAGTACATCGTATTGTCTATCTGATGCCAGTATTTATTATGATATAAAAGGTGATTCAATAGGATCGAGTACATACGTTCTTTTAAGAGGAAACATTGAAAAACACGCACAATGCAATAGGATATTAAATCTATTTTATATGGGGCTTTATGTGAAGCAAGGCTGTTCACAGGGGAAGCAAATGAATCACAGTTTACAACTGTAAATAACGTTTAAGTAGGTAACTTGGACGTGAATATCAGATTTCGTCGTCGTTATCCGAGTTACATGTCTGTGCAGGGTATCTTTTCTTGAGGTAAAGCAATAACCAGCCGCACGCAGTTACTTCCCTTGTGTAGTCGTCGTCAATTGAATTTACCTTAATTTTAATCAATTATCGTTTTGTTTATAGAAACAGTACGTTCGATTCTCCACATGACCCAGGTGGCCTAGTGGACACAGCTGGCACTGTTCGTTGTGAATAATAGCGTCCCTCTGCTGCCGGGATCGGCTAATCATGGAATCCAAACCCAGATATTGTAATATATACTGCTTGATCTGTCAGCACCATACCCGTGCTTGCGGGTTTCACAAAAGTGGGGGTCGGTGAGGTAGCCTGGTGGTTAAAGCGTTCGCTCGTCACGCCGAAGCCCCGGCCTCGATTCCCAACACGGGTACAATGTGTGAAGCCCATTTCTGGTGTCCCCCGCCGTGATATTGCGGGAATATTGCTAAAAGCTGCGCAATTCTATACTCAATCAATCAATCAATCACAAAAGTGGAAAACGCGCACGACCTCCGTCACCTTGGCCTGTCCTCAGCTGACACTCCTTGATCTGACTCAAATTCTGTTGAAAGCTCACTCACCCTGCAGACACATTCACAATTAAGACGTCTAAGAATCGTGAACGTGTAGACCTTCTAGGCTGAAGCATCTTCCCTTTGGTTGCATATTCCCCATGGAGCTGAGAATGCAAATTGAATGTCCACTGATCCGCTGAATAGGGTTATAATTGTGTGAGCTATTAGCATCCGTTGCCATACAAAAGTACATATTATTATTCTTTTTCTTATTATTATTGGCTTATCACCAATCATTCTGTTGATAATTATGGTATCATTCTCCACTAACGAATGGCCAGACTCTTCGTAATGGCGTGCTCAAAGCGAGCCGTCAATTGCCATTCTGAATCTAGGATCTGTTGTGCAGAAATTGCACTCTCACCTCCCTGGGGAATATAGAGCCGCCATATCAGGCATACGATGTACCTGATCCCCATCGAGCAAACGTTCAGAGTTAAATGTATGTACTTCAATCTTTGTTTCTCTGTTCACAGTCGGGGACAGGTGCTTGTTCGGGACAGTAATAACTCTGACTGGATATACATTGTCAAATCGGTGAGTAGGAACCAGGTCCCGGGCTACAACGATCCAATCCCAGTGTCATGTTGTGTTGCTCTACCATTTTACGTAATACGCACGAAAATACATTTTCACGATAGCATGTTTAGGTGTGTTTGACGTCACACTCAGCAATACCCATCTATATGATGGCGGTCTGTAAATAATTGAACTTGGACCAGACAATCCTGTAATTTAGATTTAAGAGAATCGATTACCGCAACTGGGATTCGCAATGATAAGCAATCAACCAGATCACCGAGCCTGATCCCCCGATCCATTCTGTTGACAAGCATAGGTTGCTGGGAACCTATATTCCCATCCGGTGTCCCTACGGGTTACCATGGTGATTGCCAATGAGGTGTACTTCTTTCTGGTATTCATCGTGATGAAAGAGTTGATTGGTTTGTTCTGAATGAATGAGTGAGTGAATACGTGAGAGAGTTGAGTACACAGGTAATGGGCTCCACACATCGTACCCATGTTAAGAATCAAACCAGGGTACGTCTTTACGGATTGTCAATCCATGACGTATAGACTCTAGACTAGACAAAACGTCCCGTTGTAACGGCGTAGCTCTGTACACTGTGTTTGTCGTTTATTTACAGGGTAGTTTGTCCGTGTTGAAGAAACTCCAGGCAGCACAGCCAGATGTCCGCAGACACGGGAATGAACCAGGTAGGCTGGGTATGGTGTTAGTGAGGCAGCACAAGTTGCGGGGGGTGTTTGTTTGTTTGTTGTTTAACGCCGCACTCAGCAATATTTCAGCTATATGACGGCGATCCTGTGACTGACATCATGAGCATCGATCCACGAAATTGGGATACGATGACATGCATCAACCAAGTCAGCCTGCCTGACCACCCGATCCCGTTAGTCGCCTTTTACGACAAGCATAGTCGCCTGACTGAAGGTGTGAGTGTGTGAGTATGTGGGGTGAGAATGTGTGAGGGTCTCAGGGGATAGATGTTTGGAGCGCGTGTGTGTGTGTGTGTGTGTGTGTGTGTGTGTGTGTGTGTGTGTGTGTGTGTGTGTGTGTGTGTGTGAGAGTTTGACAGAGAGAGAGAGAGAGAGAGAGAGAGAGAGAGAGAGAGAGAGTGAGTGAGTTTGAGAATGTGTGTGTGTGTGTGAATGCCCGCGCGTGTGTGGGTGTGAGTGGTGTGTGGATGTGGGAGCAATAGTTCAGCACCAACACGGCAAGGGTCGCCGCCATTGAGACTACAAAATGTGAATGCCTGGTCCTACCATATCACACCCAGGACGATAACGATAGCTGTTAACAACTAAACACAAAGTAAGGAATGGACTCACACCACAACTGTGGCTTGTGTATAGTGTGAATTGATTAAAGAGTGACAGTGTGACTGCTCAAATCAGGACCGATGTATCGATATCGTTATCGCTTTGGGGTGACAAAACAAGGCTCCCGGGTGAGGGATGACGCTTTTACCACTCGACTCTTGTACCCTTCAGGACCATGTGATATACCCCAACATCATGATTCCTACCCTTAATGCCATGGTTGAACATAAATTTAGTTGAACATGGTTAGGTAAGGTTGAACATAGTTATAATGGTTGAATAGGATTGAACATAGTTGAAATGGTTGAATAAGGTTGAACATTGTTGAATATGGTTGAATAAGGTTGAACATTGTTGAATATGGTTGAACATGGTTGAATATGGTTGAACATGATTCAACATGGTTGAATAAGGTTGAACATAATTGAAATAGTTGAATAAGGTTGAACATAGTTGAATATGTTTGAATAAGGTTGAACATAGTTGAATATGACTGAACATTGTTGAACATGGTTGAATAAGGTTGAACATAGTTGAATATGGTTGAACATAGTTGAATATGATTGAACATAGTTGAACATGGATGAATAACCTTGAACATGGTTGAATATAATTGAACATAGTTGAATATGGTCGAACATAGTTGAACAAGGTTGAATATGGTTGAATATATTGAATATGATTGAAAATATTTGAATATGGTTCAACAGAGTTGAATATGATTTAACATAGTTGAACATGGTTGAATAAGCTTGAGCATAATTGAAATGGTTGAATATTGTTGAACATAGTTGAATATGGTGAACATAGTTGAATATGACTGAACATTGTTGAACATGGTTGAATAAGGTTGAACATAGTTGAATATGGTTGAACATAGTTGAATATGATTGAACATAGTTGAACATGGATGAATAACCTTGAACATGGTTGAATATAATTGAACATAGTTGAATATGGTCGAACATAGTTGAACAAGGTTGAATATGGTTGAATATATTGAATATGATTGAAAATATTTGAATATGGTTCAACAGAGTTGAATATGATTTAACATAGTTGAACATGGTTGAATAAGCTTGAGCATAATTGAAATGGTTGAATATTGTTGAACATAGTTGAATATGGTGAACATAGTTGAATATGGTTGAACATGGTTGAATAAGGTTGAATAAGATTGAATATGATTGAACATAGTTGAATATGGGTGAATAAGGTTGAACATAGTTGAATATGGTTGGATAAGGTTGAACATAGTTGAATATGGTTGAATATTTTGGAACCTAGATACATATATTGGAGGAATATGGTCGAACAAGGCTGAAAAACACAGTTTACCCCAAATGACGATATGTGACTAATCCCATATAGCTAAACTGAAGTTTTAACAGAAACCACTAGCATCTCAACTATTTCGATCATACAAGTACACACACGAATTTAGCGAGGAAATTGGTCACCGATGCCAGCTGATAACTCCAACAATAGACAAAGTGTCAAGTGAGAAGTAATTTCTAACTTTGGGTGCCTGTCCCATTCAACTTCATTAACAGGTATACCCGCCAAGCTATATTGAGGCCAGACATTCATTATGTTTTCCGTTTCCTCATAAGGTTGTTCTATGACGGGCACGTTCTATATTTATCCACTTGATTAATACCTTTCCTACCAACGGCTGGTAAATAACAGTTGAATATCAGCAGATGAAGAAAAACTAACATCGAAAGTCAAGTAACCTATGGATATATTTTGATTAAATTTGTATAAGTACAAATAAGTACAAATATTTGTATAAGTATCACTTGTCCCCAACTTGATTCAAATAAAACTGTTTTCTATACAAAATCTAGGGGCTGGTTACGGCACTGCTATTGAGTGAATTTTGTTTAACGCCGCATTCAGCAATATCCAAACCAAATGACGGCGGCCTGTAAATAATCGAGTCTGGGCTGAACCAGTGCAACGTCCCAAGTTATCGGGGTACGATGACACGCAATCAGCAGGGGAACAGAGTTTGACCACCCGATGCAAATTAGCTGGGGTTCTTTTCTAACCAGGTCTCTACGGTTTGTTTGTTTGTTGTTGTTTAACGCCGCACCCAGCAACGTTCCAGCTATATGACGGCGGTCTGTAATCAATACTGCCCTGACCAGACAATCCAGTGATTGATATTGTGAGCATCGATCTACGAAATTGAGACACGATGACACTCATCAACCAAGTCAGCGAGACTGACCACCCATTCCCGTTAGTAGCCTTTTACGGCAAGCATGGGTTGCCGAAGACCTATTCTAACCCGGACCTCAACGGGGGTGGGCCCCCCACATTACATATGTACGTGTCCATGTTTAATCAATCACGCACACGATTGAAACACTCGTATCTCATAGTGCTTGTGATGTCTTTATTTACAGTCTATACAAATTTCAACTCGCTGTATTGTTTGAAGGAGATGGGCAAACAAACCTCTTGCCGCTTGTACATTTTTCCAATCGGTCGGTCTTGTTCTGGTTTGAAGTTAGCGTTCTTTCTTCAGGTGAATATATCATAACGGCGACTAAGTTAAAAAAATAGCCGTGCGTAATAAACAGCGTATAAACCAGTCACCGGTGACATTGAGTTGTTTATTCAGACTAAAATAATCGCTTACATGTAACAGTGAATGTAAATTTAATGCCTATACAAATACTCTTTGTCCCTAAGTGCGTCACGATAAATTTTATCAGTGTCTGTGCAAGACTTATTACAGTAATGCATGTATTTCACTGTTATAGGCCACCATATTTCAAACACTGTGATGTATGACTTAAACGTGGTTTTTTAAAAGGTGTGTTTTAAAAGATACTTCAAAAGTAGCCCCCGTGGAGATCTGAGTTAGAATTGGACAACTCACGTGATCGGGTTGCCAGGCTCGCTGACTTGGTTGATGCATGCCATCGTATTCCGGGGTAGAATAGGTCTTCACCAACCCATGCTTGCCGTAAAGGGTGACTATGCTTGTCGTAAAAGGCGACTAACGGGATCAGGTGGTCAGGCTCGCTGACTTGGTTGATGCATGCCATCGTATTCCGGGGTAGAATAGGTCTTCACCAACCCATGCTTGCCGTAAAGGGTGACTATGCTTGTCGTAAAAGGCGACTAACGGGATCAGGTGGTCAGGCTCGCTGACTTGGTTGATGCATGCCATCGTATTCCGGGGTAGAATAGGTCTTCACCAACCCATGCTTGCCGTAAAGGGTGACTATGCTTGTCGTAAAAGGCGACTAACGGGATCAGGTGGTCAGGCTCGCTGACTTGGTTGATGCATGCCATCGTATTCCGGGGTAGAATAGGTCTTCACCAACCCATGCTTGCCGTAAAGGGTGACTATGCTTGTCGTAAAAGGCGACTAACGGGATCGGGTGGTCAGGCTCGCTGACTTGGTTGATGCATGTCATCGATCTCAATTGCGTGGATCGATGCTCATGATATCAATCACTGGATTGTCTGGTCCATACTCGATTATTTACAGACCGCCGTCATATAGCTGGAATATTGCTGAGTGCGGCGTTAAACAACAACCAAGCAACCAACCAACCAAGCAACCAACCAACCAACCAACCAATTGCGTAAATCGATGTTAGTGATGTCAATCACTGGATTGTCTGGTCCATACTCGATTATTTACAGACCGCCGTCATATAGCTGGAATATTGCTGAGTGCGGCGTTAAACAACAACCAAGCAACCAACCAAGCAACCAACCAATTGCGTAAATCGATGTTAGTGATGTCAATCACTGGATTGTCTGGTCCATACTCGATTATTTACAGACCGCCGTCATATAGCTGGAATATTGCTGAGTGCGGCGTTAAACAACAACCAAGCAACCAACCAACCAAGCAACCAATTGCGTAAATCGATGTTAGTGATGTCAATCACTGGATTGTCTGGTCCATACTCGATTTTTTACAGACCGCCGTCATATAGCTGGAATATTGCTGAGTGCGGCGTTAAACAACAACCAAGCAACCAAGCAACCAATTGCGTAAATCGATGTTAGTGATGTCAATCACTGGATAGTCTGGTCCAGACTCGATTATTTACAGACCACCGTCCAGCGGTCAATAGTTACCGGTGTTCGATGACACCTGGAGGCAGCGTGGTGATCCAGGGCTCACTCGCACAAGGGATATCCCAACGCAATTGTGACCACCGGATGCTTTTCTTTAACTCCTTGTATCATCATGGGCATCAGCACCCAACTCCCGGCTGCTGTTACCGAATTCCCACCGAGCAGCAAAATCTGTCAAAATCAGACGTCATGTATATGCTGAATACAAATTCCTAACTAAAATATTTCAATACCAATATGTCACTCCTAATAGTGAGTGAGTATGGTTTTACGCCGCTTTTAGCAATATTCCAGCAATATCATGGCGGGGGTCACCAGAAATGGGCTTCACACACTGTACCCATGTCGGGAATCGAACCCGGGTCTTCGGCGTGACGAGCGAACGCCTTAACCACTAGGCTACCCGACCGCCCCCACTCCTAATACCTCGTATGATACCGGGTGTTCGCGAAAAGGGTTAGCATGTCAGGCATATGGAAACTCTACTTCATCAGAACAAAACCATTAATCGGATGAAGTAGTATGGAACAACCACCATCAAAGTTGCTTGTCATTTTTTATTTTTTTATTTATTTTTTATTTGTTTCCTGTTGCACATTAAAAATGAAGAAATGATTATTCTATGAATAGACAGTGACATGTATACAAGCAGTGGTAGTGCTTGTCATTATTTAGTCTGTTGTTGGGCTTATCAGCCGACACTGGCGACCATTCGTCAAGATACTTCAGTTGTCAATACTTCAATAGTCGACTCTGTAGATTGTGGGATCGAAACCAAGATCGTCCCGATTATGACCCTTGCAATGTTAGCACCATACTTGTTCTTATGGTTTTACCAATGTGGTAAACGTCTACGACCGGAGTCGCTTTGGGCATAGCTGCGACATTCATCTGACATGCCACGATATTTTGTTTGTTTGTTGTTTAACGCCGCACTCAGCAATATTCCAGCTATATGACGGCTATCTGTAAATAATCGGGTCTGGATCAGACAATACAGTGATTGATGTCATGAGTCGATCCTCGCAATTGTGATGCGATGACATGCATCAACCAAGTCAGCGAGTCTGACGACCCGATCCCGTTAGTCGCCTCTAATGACAACGTCAACGATAGAGAATAATCAGTCACGACAATCTGCAGAAATCTCCATTGGGCTTAAAGTGCCCATGAGTGATCAAACTTATCTGAATGGATCATTGAAAATCATTGATGACACCCGGTGCTCGGGGAACGGTTCTGCGCGTCCTGTTCTACCGATAGCATCCACTGTTCACACAATTTTCATTAACGATGAAACCTTTATTGAAAACTTAATTGTAAGCAAAATGTGTTTTTCCGTGAAACTTGATTAACACGTACACGTACTTAAGCAATTGTTTTTGTTTGTTTGTTGTTTAACGCCACATTCAGCAATATTATAGGCATGTGACGGCGGTCTGAAAGTAATCGAGTCTGGACCAGACAATCCCGTGATTGACATCATGTGCATCGATCCTGGCAATTGGGAAACGATGACATGCATAAACCAAGTCAGCAAGCCTGAACACCCGATCCCGTTAGTCGCCTCTTACTACAAGCAAGCATGGGTTACTGAAGACCTATTCTACCTTCATGGGAATGCCATGATGGAACTTCCATTTCGTCACTCACTCAGATCAAATCCAAAACGTTGTTTTACTCCTTTGTCGTCAAGAACTCTGCTAGAAAGCGCGTTTTCGTTCTCTTCCTATATGACTATATATTGATATTTGATTTTGTTCCCAGCTGCCGATGCAGAAGAAAGTGACCATGTTGGTCGATCTTTAGGATCATGGGATCGTCGTTTGCGGAAGCGAAGGCGGAAACACTCACAGCGCATGTCCATGTCAGAACCGGAAGTTTACAGAAGCCAATATGAAATGGAGAGACAACTGGTAAGGCCATATTAATGTTCACGACTGTTTTAAAACCTGACAACATTTTAGTACCCTTTTTCAGTGGATAAGAAAGACGATATGCTCCTCTTTAAGAACGCATGGCAACTGGTTCAGATAAGCTCGCATGATCTCATTTACATGAGCCTTGCATACTCGTAACCACAAAGGCGTATCTCTATAAACAGCGAGCAATGCGCTATCTTAAGGTTCTATTATTGTATGAAGATTTCTCTCATCTCAGCATTAAGATTATACTTGTGAGGAGGTCATCCACTTAAAAGTCTCGCAGCTATGGTAAAGACAGACGTCATGTATTTCTGCACTACAAAAACACGTGGCCCGAGGGACCGAAGCCAAAAGCTTTAGGCCTCTACTCTGGCAGAATGTCTGGGCCCCGTTTAAACAAACGATTGAAGCTACGACTGACGTAAGTCTATGCTAAAGTATAGGAGTTCTGATTTTATATTAAAACCTAAGAGTTCTTCTTTAAATGATTTATTTCAAAATTATATAATAGCGATCGACGATCGAAACAAATGTAAAACAGTTAAGTCATATTTTCAAAATGATCACTTCAAAGTAAGATCGCTTGGGCGAAATTATTATATAAACATATGACAAGAGAGACATGTGCTCCTATGGTGCCCCTTTTAATGGCAGGTCAAATATTTCCCTTCGCATGTATTCTGAGATTAGTACATTAATAGAAATGATTAGGTTATGATTAAAATCCATTTTGTGGATTTAGGATTCGTTGATCCTAAAATCAAATACAACACCCAAGTACAGGTTGATAGGTTTATCTCATTATTCAAATAACGTTTTTTACATCCTGTTGGATTATCCTTGGTGAATAGTCGAATAAGATGTAGTAGTAGCCTTGTAAAGTGGTCGTTGACGTTGAAAGAATGACTAGTAATAGTGGTAGTTGTAGTCGTTCACAGAGGGAAGTAACAGTAGTAGTATAAATCGTTGTATCAGCTGTAGCAATTGCAGTATTAGTAGTGCGAGTAGTTAGTTTCAATTAGTTCTCCATTATTATTATTATTATTTATAGATTAATATAAAAAATGCAGCTTGTTAGGCTTATCATCAGCTAAGGGCCCTTGTCCCCTCTACACGCAGCCCAGACAGCGAATGGGATTTCTCCGAGGAAGCACTGCCTAGTCAAATCCACCCAGAAGTTTTCGGAGAATGTGAAGACTCCCCAACCCTGCAGCCTTCCGCATTACCCAGATTGTAAGAGGGCTGTTTTCCTGGTAGCAAACCCGGGAACTCTCCCAATGTCAGTCAACAGATTGGCAGGTACCAAACCTAAGGGACCGAGAACAATGGGGAGTCGGACAACTTGGTACTTGGGATGCAAGCGTGACATTTCGAAAGCGAGGTCTGCATATTTGCCATGTTTTTCCTGAATCATGTCAATCACAATGGTGTCAAAAGGGACAGAAAATTCAATAATATAAATGATTTCATTGGATTTATAAAAAGGGACAAGATCAGGTGTGTTGGCCTGGATACGTCTGAGGCTGTATACGGGCCTATTCAAAAGAGTTTTGTTTTTATCATTTTCCATGACGCCCTCTACATATTCCGGGTCGTGCCATGGATGGACCTCTGTGTCAAAACCAGAAGCAGTACAGAACCATCAACAAAATCAACACTGACATTGAGATTATGCCCCACATCCTTGGCCCGTTTAAGAAAACTGTGGAATGCCTTGTTTTCGTCATGCGTCTGGAGGATCATTAGAGGATCATCAGACAAATAAATATGTGCAAAAGTGCACGAAACAATTCTGTCACGAAGAGCAACAACGTTAATTAAACCACGCCCTCCCATAATGATTGGTAAATATAAGCGAATGAAGGAAGAGCGTGGGTGTATTATTATTATTTTTTTTCCGTCGCTGCAAAGCAAAACTTCAAGCAAACAGACCGCCTCCGTGGTCTAGTGGATAAAGCGTCTGCCCGGTGGTTCAATCCCCGTCAGCATCACACCAAAAGACGTTATAATATGGCACTTGTTGTTGCCCTGCCTGGCGCCTATCGTGAAGGGGATGATACATGGACTTGTCGGCTCAGGTTCGGTATACTGTGTTTGAATGGATGTCCATGTTAAACTGCACTTAACTGTGTTAAAATCCCAGTGGGCTAACACAACTAGTCCGGACTAGTACAAGCAGGCACACACGCAGGCGCGTGCGTACATGCACGCCGCTACACAAGTGAAATAATATCAACGCTACGTTAAACCCCATTCAGCGTCGCCTCACATTCAAGCAAGCATGGTCAAGGTTATTTCCCTTTGATTGGCTGTTACGTGGCGTATTTGGGCAAGTGACTGAACCGTTTCAGCGTAAGCGTTAATTTGGCTCGAGACATGTTCAAATCCCAACTTGTCCCTTATGTCCACTCCTGGCCAAGCCATGGGGATGCCGGGTTAGGATAGGTCAACAGTAACCAATGCTATCTTAGAGGCGACTAATTTGGATCGGTTGGTCAGACTCTCTGACTTTGTTGATAGCATGTCACCGTCTTCGACAGCATGTGGTATTGATCACAGTACCGTGGTATAGCGGTATACCGTTGAATTCTTGCTAAATAAGGGGTTAACAAAAACACGAATTATTTGTTAAACTAATAAAACTTGACAGCAAGATGCTAGACATGTTGAATTCACACGATCCATATAACCTGAAATAAACGTTGAACCTCGTTAAGGCAAAGTTCTTGAAACCATTATTGATTCGAGTCATACGTATTTCGAGACAAGCGGAGTATTGATGCTAGACCAGTGTGCTTATCAGGAACACGCTCCGAAGAGGGGTTTTAGCTACAACTTTCGTAAGTCAGTGTTAAAGGAGGCTAAGAACGTCTAAAAGCTAAGACAGCTTTGTAGAACAGGCTAAGAATTCAGCCGAGTTTCATCGTTTAGGGCGTTATGTCGAGTCAACAGAGTTCGAGTTAACAAGGTCTCATTGTTCCAGATAAAATAACGATAACCATATATCGTTCACATCTCTTTATTACCAAATAAACAACAGATCATATCATATTAAATATAAAAAATGATAAATTTCAGAAAGAGTATTAAACTATTTGGACCAGGTATTTCTTTAAACGCACTTATCGATTTAGGCCAGTCAATCTCATCGGTAAATTGGGTGTTGCTCCTTCAGCGTGATGTAACTAGGGCCATACAATGGTATTTGTAATTAGTCAATCCAAAGGTGCTTCCCGTATCTCAGCAATGCGAAAACAGACGTGCTTTTCCCCCGCGAAAGTAATGCTATATAATCCAATAGCGTGCATTTCCATTCTCAAGGACTTTGCTGTTTCAACAGCCAAATTAACGAACTAACATCTTAACTCTCAGAGCCACGTGGGCGAATGGGATTCACGTTTCGAGACGCTGGAGCTGCACTTCCATATTACAGAAATGCGTGCCAAGACTCAATAGAATAAAGATTTATAGCGGTCCTTGAGATAACATTTTTTATATTATTTTTTTAAAACTGTCTTTGCAGAGCATTTGAGTGCAAGCATTCAATCTTTTTGTTGTCTCAAACCCGGGATTCGAGTAAAGAATATTAATTAAAATTAAGTTGTTTTCTATGATGGATTACTAAAATAGTTTTTCTTGGCATATTAATCATATGTCACGTGAACAGATTGGCTGTGGATATTAGACGTTATGATGTACTGCGGCTGAGTATTTTGGTCCTGATAATCCCTACAACAGTAAAGACAAAAAGAAGGAACAATAACAAATATTGTGACATTTTACACTATTTACATTGTCATGGTGGTAACAACAACAACAATAATAATGATGATGATGATGATAATAATAATAAACAAGCAAGTCAGGGTATTGACACCCTCACACGAAGAATCGTGTCAGACAATATATCCCACCACCCTCGCTCTTCCCTCAATTGCTTATATTGCTTTATTCACTAGACCACATAGACATGATAACTACAAAACTCTTTGGAATAGGTCCGTATACAACCCCAAACAGATCAAGGCCAACACACCTGATCTTGTCCTTTTTTTTAAATCCAATGAAATCATTTATATTATTGAATTTTCTGTCCCTTTTGACTCTAATGTGATGGACAAGATTCAGGAAAAACATGGCAAATATGCAGACCTCGCTTTCGAAATGTCACGCTTGCATCCCAAGTACCAAGTTGTCCGACTCCCATTTGTTCTCGGTGCCTTAGGTTTGGTACCTCCAAATCTGTTGACTGACATTGGGAGAGTACCCGGGTTTGCTACCAGGAATACAGCCCTTCTGACAATCTGGTTAATGCAGAAGGCTGCAGGGTTGGGGAGTCATCACATTCTCCGAAAAGTTCTGGGTGGATTTGACAAGGCAGTCCTTCCTGGGAGAAGTCCTATTCACTGTTTGGGACAAGGACCCTGAGCTGATGATAAGCCTAACCAGCCTGACTGTGCCAGGATCACCCAAACCCTCTTTGCTGCATGTTTTTATTGTAATCTGTACATTATAATAATAATAATTGTTCTCGGTGCCTTTGGTTTGGTACCTCCAAATCTGTTGACTGACATTGGGAGAGTACCCGGGTTTGCTACCAGGAATACAGCCCTTCTGTTAATCAGGGTAATGCAGAAGGCTGCAGTGCTTGGTAGTCGGCATTTGTTAAAAGTTGCATTCCATGCACTATGTAGTTTCTCAAAGCGCACTTTTTAATCCGGTCAATGGATCAGTGTGCACTCAACAATCATTCTCAGCTCCCGGGGGAGTATACAACCCAAGCTGCCTGTGAGGCGATAGCAGGCACATTGCATTCTCATCCTACCGGTTACCCTTCACTGCTGAGTGAACAGAGGTACATTTCGAACAAAGCCACTTGCCCAAGGAGACACTACATGTGTTACATGTATAGGGAGGACCGAATCTCAAGAAACTCTCACGAGCCAAGCTGCCGAACACGATCACCTATCCAAGGAGTCTCCGCGAACAACGTTGCTTAACTTCATCTGACAGAACGCAGAAAATAACATTCAACAAATTTCGTCATACTCATGGATGTACACTCGTCTGTATTTCAGGAACAAACATTGCCTGGTTTTCACAACAATCAGGACCGACTTGGTCTCATTGACTATGATGCTGTCATCCGTGAACATCGTTCCCGTCTCATACAACGACCCTCTGAGGCGACGTTGTTGCCGAAGATAGAAGTTGCCGAGAAGTCTGAGAGGAGACCGGGCCGGCGTAAGAGCGTCACAGAGAGGCCGCTACACCTCCCACCTATACATAACAAAGATGGCGACGTTGACGACACCGGAAGGAGTCCAAAAACGGAAATACGACCTGTCAGCAAAACTGCCAAGGTATGAAATAAATTGCTTTCTTATTACCTTACGTTAAACGTCAATTATGCATACACCGCTCCTTCGCTGTTTATTAGCGTTTCGACTAAAACCTGGCATTGGCCTTTTAGCTGAAGTTGAAAAATATAGTTTTGTAGTCATGACTAGTCATCCTTTGGAGCATTATCCGGGTCTCCGTTTCTGTTAGGGGGTGTACCTGGCCCCAAGCCCCATCAGATCCCGTCACCATGTGGGGGAGGATGGGCGGACATTACCCGAGGTGTCCGACACTCAGAGGGGGCAGACAAGGGAAGAAAGGGTCAGCGAGGACCTCGCTAAGATGCAGATTGGTGAGTATTGGTGAAACTGGCCTCGACCTGTCCTTCCAGGGTTTTGCAATTCTTGAATGAACAATTCCCAGTTCTTGAGATCCATTGACAGTCCCTGTATAGTGTAGAGGGTAAGCGTGGACGTGTGGTAACCAGTGAATGGAAACATGAGCATCGATCCACGCCATCGAGTGAGTGAGTGAGTGAGTCTGGTTTTACGTCGCTTTTAGCGATATTCTAGCTATATCACGGCGGGGGACCCTGCAATGGGCTTCACACATTGTATCCATGTCGGGAATCGAACCCGGTTCTTCGGCGTGACGTAGCGAACGCTTTAACCACTGGGCTACCCCTCCGCCCCACCAAGTCATTGAGGTTCAATGACACCAAGTCACAGAGCCTGACCACCCGATCCCGTTTAGTCGGCTCTGACGAAACGCCTTAGAGGCCTATTCTGACTCGTACTAATGTACTTTAACATCCTGATTAGTAACTCATAACACGGAATAATGTGATAATATTTAATCAATTTTATTTGACCTAAGTAAAGATATGTTTATTTAGTTTTGTGGTCTAATAGAATCGCAACGTAATGTATTTGAACGTTTCTACTTTGAATGCTAAACAGAGTACCGGCGTAAGATCATGGAGCGGGAGGGCCGCAAGACCATTGCGGAGGAGCTGGACAGCAAGGGGCGGAGGGACTTCGTCTTCACCGAGGCCGACCTCAACCCCATGTTCATATTGGTCCAGGTGCTGGAGCGGGGGCAGTACTTTGTAAGTTATCCAACCATGTTTCTATGTGTAAACTCTAAAGTATTGAAGCATGTTCACAATATTTTGATTCCTGATTGTTAATTGTTTTGTCTAAAACTTACTTTGTATAGTTGCTGTTGGATGGAATTGCGCCAGAATTCCCTGTGTAGAGTTGCGTCCCTTGGGCACTCCAGAACCCGTGGGTGTATTAGCATCATGCCCCTGTTCGTAGGTTTCACCGAAGTGGTAAACGTCTTAGACCTGCACCACTTCAGACTTTCCTTCCACATTAAGCTGACACGCCGTGATATAACGGGGATACTGCTCAAAACGGCGTTAAACCAACTTCACTCACTCACTCTTGCATGGAGTAGACGGCAAATAGGCAAAATAAGTGTTACAATTGGAGAACATTAACACCAAGAGCTTTCAAATTCACATCTTAGTACCTCTATGAAACCACTGGCTGTTTTATGCTGCTGAACCAACACTAGACAGGGAATCCGGTATTTGATGGTAAATACTTTTTTATTGGAAGTTATTACAAAATGACCAAGAGATTGATCACACAAACATTTGGAAATGTTATCACATACTTAGATGTCCTTGTAGATTAATGCATGATTTCATCAAGACTGTGCTTAAATGAATTACTGTTCAAAGCGGCGTTAATCATACTTACTGCACATGAACTTCTTTTACCGGATGATACGACAGTACACCTGCCATAAACATAGATAACTATTACCCTACTCGCGAAAAGGGGTTAACTGTGGAATGCTACTTTAAGTACATTTATTATGACGTAGATGTGAAACACAATGCTGAACATGGTTTGGCCTTTTTTTAAAATTTGATTTTGGGAGATATTGTGGGGATTCTTTGTTTGTTTGTTTGTTTGTTGTTTAACGTTGCACTCAGGACTATTCCAGCTATATCACGGCGGTCTGTAAATAATCGAGTCTGGACCAGACAATCCAGTGATTCACATCATGAGCATCGATCCACGCAATTGGGATACGATGACATGCATCAACCAAGTCAGCTAGCCTGACCACCCGATTCCGTTAGTCGTCTCTTACGACAAGCGTAGTCGCCTTTGTGGATGTTAACATGTTAAGATACGAAAACCTTTTTACGACCAACAAAGGTGCTTAACATGTGCCTCGAGGCCCCCAGTCAACTTGCGCTTGTTCTTAGAAGCAACTAATTTAAATAGATCAGGTTTTAGCCTCAGCGGATTTTGCGTGTCATCGTACCCCGACGGCGTGACACGGTGCTCATAATATCAGTCACTGGTTTGTATGGTTCAGTTTCGACTGTTTACTGGCCGCCGTCATTTAGCTGGAATATTGAAAATTGCGGCGTTCAACAACAAATACACCATTACAGGCCTATATGTTCACAATGCAGTCTTGTGCATATAGAATTGTTGTCCTGAGACAATTTACATTATCTTACATATAAATGTCGGATTCTGATTGGCTGAAACCAATTCTATTATTTTCAATGTACCCCGGTAACATGTAAAGTACATTTCTTATGTTCCCTGCTCGAACTGCCGAACTGTTGGCATTACATTTGCAACATACCATCCGCAATGTTGTATCCGGAGTATTCTCCGGATATTTACGATATGATCCGAATGAAACAGATCGAGGGGGAATAATTGTATTCTTACCGATTCGGATTAAAACATGCATGCAATATAGTCAGGTGTGCGGTAGGATAAATTCGTTGTCTCCTCGAGAACGGTGGACAGCTAATTATTTAGCAGGCCTTTGGATCGCTGCTCATGCTGTCAACCACTAGTTTGCCTGGCCCACTTTCTGTTATATTAGGGCTGCGTCATATAAGTACATTTATCAGGAGTACTGCTATATTTGACATTTTGACAAAACTTGGTGGACAAAAATGGAAATGGGTTCATACATCTAGCGCCAGTGCCTAGTCACATAACAACATACCAAAGAAATCACTCTCAGTCCCCGGACAATCACAATATGCCTACCAAAAGTTGAGTAGTATTGGATACATTGTAGCTGTCTCCATCTTACAACACTCACTCACTCACTCAACTGGTCTCCAACAACTTACGCTAGTCGTAAAAGACGACTCAATGAAAAAGGTGGTCGAGCTCAGGGACTTGATTGCGTACCCTTGTACCCGGCGTATATCGATACTCACAATATTAATCACTTGTTTGTCTGGTTCTCGATTATTTACAGACCGCCATAACATAGCTGGAATATTGCTGAGTGCGGCGTTCAGCAGCATACAACAAACACTCCCTCTATGCTAATCCATCACTTCTTACTCCCAGGGCGTGAGCAATACGATCTACCCAGAGCAGCCGAGTCTGAGTCTAGTGAGCAATGGCGCCGAGTGTATAGTGTTGTCCAAGAAGCTCTTTCTGGAGAGATCCAGCGAGGCCGGCATGCGGCATGTCAGACACACTGTAAGTAGAAAAAGGACATCCCTATTATCACAAGCCGACTGTAGTAACGCGGCCATCTGTCTTCTGTCACTCCTTGGTTTTTTCCTAATGAGTCCTATTCAGCAGGTTTATGTAAATGAGCAGGTCTTCGTGCAATAAAGAATTCGAATGCTAGAATCAAGGACGGGTAGCATTTCTCATAACGAGCTTTACCGATAAGAAAAGAAACATGTAGTTTAATGATACACTGCCGCCGCATCGTGTCCACGATTGATCACACTGCCAAAGTAGACGAGTTCAAGGCTTTCCTAAAATGACAAAACGAAAATGGTGATGTATTACTACAGCTGTCAAAGCTATTTGAACACGTTCTAATCAGAATAGGATGAATGTTTGCCGATTGATGGATAGCTATATGTTATTTTTGATAATTAATTAAAAAGGGTTTAAGGGTAGTCTTCGAGTCTGATAATATGGTAGATGATACAAAATGCCGTGTTTGTGTGGTTTGTCCGCAGTGGGTTAATGAGCAGATTCTCAACGCTTGCTAACACCGACATTATATACAGTGCATGCTCTTCAGTCGACATCCCTGCATCCCCTTTCATTAACACAAACATGTTATATGATAAATCACTACTTAATCCGAACTCTATATTATCCGCCACTCTGTCAATAGATTCCTTCCCCTCTTTTGAGAAAGAGTGAGTGAGTGAGTGAGTGAATGAGTGAATGAGTGAGTAAATGAGTATGGCATTATGCCGCTTTAAGCAACATTCCAGCAATATCACGGAGGGGGGCACCAGAAATGAGCTTCACACATTGTACCCATGTCGGGAATCGAACCCGGGTCTTCGGCCTGACGAGCGAACGCTTTAACCACTAGGCTACCCGACCACCCCTCTTTTCATATGAGTCAATGCAGACAGTTTCAGTATGTTTCGATGTATTAGTAACAATGTCACACCTAGAGAATATTTTGATTATAATTAATTTCGAAAATACTATTCAAATACACAACGGGACAAAAGAAAGTATACACTTGAAAACTGGATTTGACCAAACAAACTACCAACGTAATCAAAACGTTACCAGGCAGAAAACTGTCGCTTTACCACTTCAAACTTGCTTTCAAACCTTTCTGATTTATTTCATTCTTAGCCACCATCAAACATATTTTGCCCGGCAGGTTGGTGATGCCAAGAATAATCACCGTTTCTGCAAGTTCTGTAAGAAGCGTAATAAAATTCCTACGTATACCAAAGGAAGTAACTGACATGTATTGAAGCATGTTACATGGAGAGATACGGCGTGCCCATGTTTGGGGTGGGGGGCACGGGTGGCCCAGTCGTCTAAGGCGCCGCGATTCGCTGTGCAGAGTTGCGTCCCTTGGGCACACCAGAAACCTATGATTGCGGGTTCGAATCCCGGTTCGTCCCGATTATGTTTCTAGGTTTGTCAGCACCATACCCGTGCTCGTGGGTTTCACCGAAGTGGTAAACGTCTGAGACCTGCATCACTTCGGACTTTCCTCCCACATTAAGCTGATGTAACTGGAATACTGTTAAAAGCGGCGTTAAACCCAACTCACTCACTCACTTATGTTTGGGGTACATGTAGTTATTACTTTCTGGAAGTGAGTGTCTTCCCTCTCTAATCTGCATCTTAGGGAGCGCTGACCCTTTCTTCTCTTGTCTGTTTCCTCTGAGTGTCAGGCATCTTGTGTAACGTCAGTCCTTCCTCCCTGCCGTGGAGCCAGCGTCTGATTGGACAAGGCATGCCAAAACACTGTAAACACAAAACGCTTTTCGTAATCTCAAGACATCTCTGCCAAAAGTCCATTGTACGATTCCGACTGTGTCATAAGCATGTGTTTATGAATCACCGTCAAATAGGGATGATTCCAGGTGTTGAATCCTGGCCCACCAGTTGCACCCGTCACAAACACATGCCAAGGCAAGTCAACCTTAAATAAACACTGGAACATACGGTGCAAATCAAAACAGGGAATTACACAGGACATCATTTTTAGTACTGATTTGGAATGCGTATCATACAACTTTTAAGTCTTTACTGAGGCCTTGAAGGTAAATGTTAAATGGAAACACGAATCTCTACATATAATGTTTTTTTCAAAGTTAATTATTTTTGAAAGAGGTACATAAATAACATTTCAAGAACTCTTTCATATTAATACATAAAAATTAACAGAAACGAGCTGGTGACGGTGATTCCAGATCATGTACACAACTCAGAATGACTGCCAGCGATCATGACGTGCATTGGCAGTAGAACCCGTCACTACGAAATAAAGGAGACATGTGCCACCTTCATGGTCTGGCTATCAACAGCACTGTAACGCTGAAACTGACGTCGGTCCACGCTGCATGGTGTTAGATTGTCATTTGGACTAATTCTTACCTCCATGAAATAAATCGTGTCTGGGTCAGGGTGTCTCGTTGTGTCCACAGAGGGATGGTATAGATGGCCCTGGTTTCCGACCATGTTCAAAATCTCGTTCATTACCATCTGGAAAGAGTTTGTGTACAAAGAAAAACGGTGGACGTTCTCTCAAGAAGGTGGTTAGTTGAGTGGTTAGTTGAGGCTTTTTTTAATTAAAATATGTCATGACATTTGCTTCAAGGTCAAAGTCATATTGGTTGTCTGCTACTCACAGAGTATGTTTCCATGGTAACAAAGACAGTTTGGAGAAGGTGGCTAGTAGTACTGCCCATGCAAGTGATCCATTATCATTATTTTTGTAAGTTTGAAAGAAATCAATATTATTCGTAATTAGTCAACCCGTGAAGATCCGGGGTGGAATAGCTCTTCAGCAACCCGTGCATGCCGTAAAAGGCGACTATGCTTGTCGTAAGAGACGACTAACGGGATCGGGTGGTCGGGCTAGCTGACTTGGTTGATGCATGTCATCGTATCTCAATTGCGTGGATCGATGCTTATGATGTGAATCACAGGATTGTCTGGTCCAGACTCGATTATATACAGACCGCCGTCATATAGCTGGAATATTTCTGAGTGCGGCGATAAACAACAAAGAAACAAATGTAATTAATCATTTTTTTCACTGACTATTTTGTGTCTAATTGATGAGGCAATGGTGTCAATGTGCATGTTACCTTTCCATGTTCTACTTTCCAGGAATGTCCCTTCCCAGATGAAGTAGAACTTCAGAAGAACCTGAAAGACTATGTCAACTGGGAGGCCCACCGCGCCAAGATCTACCGTCGCCTCGTCAGGCAAAAACAGAAGCATCACGCCAAGAAGAAACAGTTTTTGCCTCAGTATGTTGGACAGTACAGCTTCAGAACGGGTCCTTTATGATAATTTGTAGGTGTAATGGACTATATTGAACGTTTAGTGCTGAAATTTCATTTTGGGACCATGTATCACCTGTGCAACGATACAGGATTTGGATCATTTAACACATGTTGTTTTTATTGCATTAACGTTTTTGTGTCCAAATACACATACAGATTCACAGACGTGAAGATACGACCATTTGCTCATGCCTTCCACACTAATCGTATTAGTCTCCATTGGCCCGTGACGGGCTCAACGTCTCTTCACGCATCAACCCCAATCTCATATTTCGGGTCACATTTTCAGTGTAAAGTCATTGAGCTTGTGTCATGATGTTACCATGTGCCATGATGTTACGCTGAACATCATGGCACAAGCTCAATGACGTGTGTCAACGGCCCCCTTTGCTACCCAATACAGCAAGGAACACCGGTTGATTTTCAGTCATGTTTTGTTTGTGAATAAACCCGTTGCATAACGGTTTCTAGGTCTAAATATGGAGGACACTGCTTGTAAGAACAGCACAGATCACCAGTTTACCAAAGCGTAACTCCCAAACCGATAAACTTTTCTGCTGCTGACGTCGTCATATTTTGGTATCTTCTTGATGAGGACGTGATTTTCGATTTGTGTATCGCTGAGGACTTTACTTTCGTTTGTTTCGAATCTTATATAAACATGCTTACATCATATAAGTATTTTGTGCTTCCAAAAGTGCTATTTGCACATTGAGCCTTATTGGGCTTATTGGTGTATCTAGGAAACATGGGAAATGTCATCCATGAAAACCTTTAATCTTGAGGAATATACTCTTGACTGTGTGTCACTCAGGACTTTCTACATGTTTTTATTTATACAAAGACAAAGGCTTCAATGATGCCGCCCAGTTATTGACATATACCTTGTTAATTTCGTTTCCCTTGCAAAATAATACGACTAACTGTGGCAAATCACATATCACTGGACACTTCGACTGATGGTGTTCTATGACCTCGTGTGGTAATTCCAGAACTTGATTAGACATGCTGGCACTCATTACAAGCATGTTATCTGGATACTGATTGTACCCGGACACCAGAGTGTAGGGAAACCTGTAACCCTGTGATTGCATACAGACATTACATAAGTAGTATGCTAATTAATGGTATTGCACGTTAACACTCATCTATTTTAACTGAAAGGGTATTTTTACAACGGCTTTATTCTGTGAAAAATGATATTCTAATAGTATATGTCATGTTATTTTCATATGTGTGGAACAGTTGTCTTTATATCTGTATATTCTGTCATAGAATTACAGATCACATTACGCAATTCAAGTTTCATTGTTCTTGTTATAGAATCTAACATTTGTTATGTACAACGAAGCTTGTGAACATGTTACACTTTTGACAAGTTCGTGTTTTCATATGCATATCTGTGATACTGATTGTATGTCTGTGATAAGATTAAGTGCCAATAAAAACTCTCTTTCAAACTCAGTGTGTTTTATTTTACTGTATCTTGTATGAATCTCTACAATATATTAGCATATCATCAGTTGATTATCACCATTAACATTGGACGCATCATTCGCTTTGCCTCAGCTGCCTGAATGGGCCAGTCGGGGTCGCAACCCAGATTATGAACCTTAGACAGGACAAAAGCCGTGCTCGTGGGTTTCACCGAAGCAGTAGACGTCAACGCCCTGCGTAATTTTGCGCGTTCCTCCCACATGAAACTGACCGGCTTTCTCAACTTGACTATACAAGAACGCTAGCCTTTTTTGTTGGAGAACAATAACCAGGTCAGGGAGGACCCCGTGTATTTGTGTCAACTTAGCGACACACGATGAGCACATCTGCTCAGTTTTTGTTTAATTTGTAACAGCATTGGCGAAGTGCTTAAGCGAAACTATTGTCCTGAGCATGACTGTGGTATATATATATATATATACCTAGGCAAGGCAAGTCTCGATCAAACTAAACCAAGTCTAGTTTTCTTGATGAAAACAGCAGAAGATTCTTTTGAAGAAAAAAACACTTTTATTACAATTATTTTAAAGAAATGATTTTTATAGACTACATGTTAGTCTGACGAAACTCCGTTATTTGTAATAAAAGTAGTCTTTCAGAAACAGATGTTTATAATATTCGTTGCATCGATGTCCTTTTAAAACGCACGTCTTTGGGTACGGAGAGAAAGACTTTCAACTTCAAAAGTGATATATGTCCTCTTTATTCCTGTTAACCCATTAGCCGGCTTCATGGTGTAGTGGAGAGGGGGTCTGCCCGTATAACGGAAGGTCTGTAGTTCCATCCCCGGCCGCGTGATACAAAAAGACTAAAAGATGCTATTTCATACCCCAGCTGGCTCTCAGCACTAATGGGATAAAAAAAAGACTGGTTGGATCTGAATCTGACCCAATGTTAAGCTGTGGCATGGTATCTCAGTGGGCTAGCACTAATGAAACCGACTACAAACATCACCTACCCACTCACCCTACACGTCTCCCTGTAAGTGCAATAATCCATGACGCTAAAGCCAATTTCACATCACCCTCACCTTTTAATCAATTCTAGGACAAAGTCATTGTCTGGTCAAAATTGGCAGTTCCTTTGTCTCAGTCTCTAAGTGTCTGACGTTGGTATGAGTGAGTGAGTGAGTGAGTGAGTGCGTGAGTGCCTGAGAGAGAGAGAGAGAGAGAGAGAGAGAGAGAGAGAGAGAGAGAGAGAGAGAGAGAGAGAGAGAGAGAGAATAGTTTTTCGCCGCTACGAGCAGAAACCCAGCAATAACACAGACGGGGACACCAGAAAAGGACTTCACACATTGTACCATTTGGGGAGTCGAACCCAAGCCCTCAGCGTGACGAGTAAACTTTCATCTTCCAGGCTACCACCTCCCCGACATTGGTTGAACACGTTTGGTACAGACTAAGATCATTAACATGTGCGTAGTTATTGCCAACGTGAGGAAGATATAAGATATCAAACGCAAATTAAACACATTTGTCATAGACTGGGTATTGTTATCCCCGTGATAAACGTTCTGATAAACTTGATAACACGACCCAATAAAGATAAACTGCTTTTAATTGACTCTAAACATCGATACAATCTTTTCCAGCTTAATAAAGTAATGCCAAGCCTTCCTAGACAAATCAATTGGTACTATATCATCAACGGGACGGATCACTCTCGCATTGTATTACTACGCGGTTTCTATGGATACTTTATTAAAAAAAATATGTCTTCCGATTACTCTAATTAAGTATGATATTATCATTATGTTTTGTCTGATAAAGAGAACATAACGATCTTATGTTTCCGTGGCTCATACACCATCTATTGGGAACACTAATTATGCCCATTAAATCCTGGTATGTAATTTCTGTATTCCCTCATATCTCTTCAAGACAAACCTCTTCCCCCTCCTTGTGACTACATCTAGAATTGTATACCTAGTGTTTCCCTGCATGCACCTGTGTATGTGTATACTGTATATATCGTCAGCTGTTGAACACTTTTTTGGAGGAAACTAGGCGTTTTAATTACAGTGAGTGAGTGAGTTGGGTTTAACGCGGCTTTTAACAGCATTCCAGTTATATCACGGCGTGTCTGCTTAATGCGAGAGGAACGCCCGAAGTGATGCAGGTCTCATACGTTTACCACTTCGGTGAAACCAACGAGCACGGGTATGGTGCTGACAAACCTAGAAACATAATCGGGGCGAATCGGGATTCGAACCCACAATCATAGGTTTCTGGCGTGCCCAAGCGACGCAACTCTGCACAGCGAATCGCCGGAATCGACGAATGGGCCACCCCTGCCCGCGTTTTAATTACAAAAGCATTATTATTATACTTACGATGAGAAAACACATCGATAGATGATGTACATGCCCTGCGACAATTAGGAGCATATTTACCCCACAACAGCTACAAGGTTGAATTTAAAAGTACATTTCAAACCGACCGCCTTCGTGGTCTAGTGGTAGAGCGTCCGCCCGGAGAGGGAAGGTCCGGGGTTTGATCCCCGGCCGCGTCATACCAAAAGACGTTAAAAGATGGTAATTGTTGTTACCCTGTCAGGCGCTCGGCATTAAGGGGCTAAAACAAGGACTGGTCGGCTCGGAGTCAGTGTACTGTGTCTGTGTGGGTTATTCATGTTAAACTGCAGCATGGTTTCTCAGTGGGCTAGCACTATAAATCGGCATCGGTCCGGACTAGTACAAGCAGCTACACACAAACACACACACACACACACACACACACACACACACACACACACACACACGCGCGCGCGTGCATGCACGTCGCTATTTAAGTGCAATAATCTTGGACGCGACGTTAAACCCCATTTCACCCCACCTTACCTCACATTTCAAAGCATTTTAAAAAAAAAATACGGCAGCGATTACGGTATCTAATTTGCACATTTAACTGAATATGCTGTTAAAAAAATACGTCATAGAATAAGAGTGAGCGAGTGAAATCCGCATCAAGATCGTGGGTATATAAAACCTCTAGACAGAGGAATGGTATATGCAAGGCTTTATTGCTGGAATTCAAGCTTATGTTTTCAGATCAAGAGACATCAAAAAGAGTGTGTGGAGAGTGCTGTAACGATACATTTTAGCTCAGTCTATCGCGGATATAATTACGACATTCCGTTTTAACCCCAAACTTAAATAAATGATTCTTTGACATAAAAATGATGGAATTATCTATATGTGTCTGTTGTAAACTGTCAGTAGGTAACAAGTCAGTAATCATAGGTCATTTCTTATTACACTTGCAAAGATTTATTAATTCTCTTTCACTAAGTTAGTGTATGTACTTTATGTTTGTTATGTCAATATATAAAACTATGCTTAAAAAATGAATTTCTGATAGGGAAGCATTTTCCCCCAAGTTTTTTTTGTATTTTGAATAAAAGTAACAAAACCTTTTCCACAATAATAAGTCCTTTTGACGATCAATTGTACAGCTCCCCAACCACGGTAATATGAAGTTCTTTCAACTTAATAGTTTCTGAAGGTGGCTGTTTTGCCACTAAACAGTTCCAAAGCAATTCATGTTTTGAAGAGTGAATGGATAAACGCTGTGGATTTAATTACGTCTTCACGAAAGAAAATTATATATAAGATGACAGCTCATTTTTTATTAGGTGTGTTAGATAAGAAACGCTGTGATACTGTCTCGTGCCGTCTACGCTTCGACGGTGGGGTTCTCTTACTTTGCCACATATGGAAATACCTGAAACGTGTATCTTAAGAAGACGCTATCTAATTACTACCATTCCTTATCATCTTCCCATATCTAACGGGACTCCATTTATGCTGGACATTAGTTCATAATATGATGTCAAAAATTAAATCACCAAGAGCGTCTATTTTTGACTCTGTAACAAGTAACCTACTTTTGCTGTTTAAATTTACTTCCAAACTTTGGTAATGGCTTGGTAGTAGATAACTAGCTCCATCATCAGTTGATTAAATTTCCGGCTATTGCTGCTAACGTTTGGATCGAGTATAAATGTGAGGTAAAGATGTACTGAGTCTCATCTAACGCGGTAAATGCGTAACTAGAACATTGTAAGTTATATTTGAAGTGCTATTACGATACATTGTAAGTCAAACTATCGCAGACAGGATTCGAATATTTTCTTATGTCCAAATAAGGTGAGGTAAGGTGAGGTGAAATGGGCTTTAACGTCGCGTCCAAGATTATTGCACTTATGTAGCGACGTGCATGTACATGTGTGTGTTTGTGTGGCTGCTTGTACTAGTCCGGACTGATGCCGATTTATAGTGCTAGCTCACTGAGATACCATGCCGCAGTTTAACATGAATACCCCACTCAGACACAGTATACTGACTCCGAGCCGACCAGTCCTTGTTTTAGCCCCGTAATGCCGAGCGCCAGACAGGGTAACAACAAGTACCATCTTTTAACGTCTTTTGGTATGACGCGGCCGGGGATCGAACCCCGGACCTTCCGCTCTCCGGGCGGACGGTCTACCACTAGACCACGGAGGCCGTCTATGTCAAAATAAGTGATTTCCCCAAGAAGTAAAGTATTTGGCCCGGTTGTCAACAACAGCGTCGTATAATATAAATGACTATCATTTTTAGCGCATGCAAACAATTTTAAAAAGTTTTTATGGAGTGGTTCCTTACTCGAACAATGTAAAAACTTTCACTTTGACTCTGATATTTGAAACTTCAAACCGCATTAGGTTACCAGAGCTCCTGGTATGGATGTAAAGCCACCGCGACGAACATAGACATCAGTTTCTTTTTTAAATTAACTGTCATCGGAAAATATCTTCAATAAAATGCCAAGGACTGTTTACAAGATCATAAAAAAACAAAAGACAACTTTACTTCGAATCTCATATGTTGACTCGTCTCCGGAGATCATCATGTTTTATCAGACAAGTATAGCAATGTAGAGCTATATCTTGTTCCCCACCGCAAACTTGTACGTTTCTGAAGCACATTGCTCAGCCTTGAACATCTGTTAAAACCATATCTTGAAAACTGATCATGCACTAAGTCAGTCGTCCACTTATGAATAAAACTTTGAAGTATTGTGTTTCACATATTTATTCATCATTGGCATACTCAACGCACTCATGTAGAAAATTACAAATTGTTTTGAAAATATGACTCAAATGTCTATGCTCAATGCAAACATATCAATATGGCTTCATACAGGTATAATGTAAAAACCATATACATATCAACAATATTTTTTACACTGTTCCAACATTGTATACAGAAAGCTACAATGTACAAGATCATTCGGACAATGTACAGCACTATATCATTGTACCACGACAGTACTACAGGTTGGATATTATAGTAACAATACAATATGTTCCTTGTACAAACTATCATCAAATACAAATATACTACTCAGCTTTTGATAGGGATATCGCTGTTATTCCATGATACACCAAACAGATCACGTAAAATTAGGATGTTATTGGCGAAGAGTAGCTTCCATATCTCCGTATTCCTGTCAAAAGGTCAGTTATATATCTCACCGATGAAACAAACTAAACAATATTCAACAGTTTGCTGGACAGATATTGCAAGTCGCACGCTACTGGTCACGTGGTTCGACCAGCGGTGCCTGTGGACATTACTTAATTTCAAGCAGTGATGCTGAGGTACGTGAAATGTCTATCAAAGTTATAAAAACGTACTTAAAATAATGGATAGCATCTCTATGACATAACGAAATCTCTACTTTAAAATGATGTAGTCATATGTAAAAACGGGTGTTCTTTAACTTCTTTGAAGTAGTATGCTGATGGTAACAAATAAGGGAACAATAAATTTTTTTTTAGGGAAATTAGCTTTACTGTCATCACATTTGAAATAGCGTGCATACAAATTCAACACGTCAGAATCAAAGGTTGTGTTTGTGTGCATTGTTTGCAACGGGTGTTCTTTAACTTCTTTGAAGTAGTATGCTGATGGTAACGAATAAGGGAACAATGAACAATTTAGGGAAATTAGCTTTACTGTCAGTACATTTGAAATAGCGTGCATACAAATTCAACACGTCAGAATCAAAAATTGTGTTTGTGTGCATTGCTTCCAACGCATATTTGGTAGACAAGGCTGGGGACCCATGATAACTTTACATATACATATAAAACCCATAATAGCATTACTGTGTCCCCAAACTAAGTGATTCCTTATTCCTGTCAATCAGTATATATACTGGTATGTATTTAAGTTTACTTATATTCAAATGAAAGATGGAAATGCAGCTGTTACAGAAGACAATCAAATAAACAACACCCAGATGTACTCTACAACCTCCCACATGATGCCACATACGAAGTTACAGGACAACTATACATTGATGGACATCATTTTCACAATAGATGTGCATTTTTACAAATGATACGATATGTGGACTCGACGAGATCTAATTACATTACGGGATATGTGTCATATCAATACTTTCATTTTGGTGACGATCATCATGTTATATCATACAAGCACTAATTTCTTACTGACACGCGATTACGAACAGATTACTACTATGTGAAACAACAGATAATTGATTTTCTTCTCATTGTTGAATTCTCAGGCTTATGAAAATCGGGCTGTAATCAGGGAAGATCAAAGCGGCTTCCCACTTGAACCTTTCACCCTGTCCTTTGCAACACCAGCACAAAACATCTCAAACTCAATCAGTTATTGCCCGGCACTCAACATAGGATGTCGGAGCCAAATGTCTAACAATCACAAGCAGCGATCAGAAGAGGACCCCCTAATTCAAACATGTCCTCTTGATTAATACTTACTCTTGTGGTGGGTTCCAGAACGGATCGAACATGGCCATCAACACAATGTGTCGGCCAATAGCGCCATGTGATCTCGACGGAGGATGACTCTTGGCAAATTGATGTGTCAGCCGTGATGTAAAGATAGCAACTGTGGCAACGAGCATCCAGATAAGTCATGCAGAATGTAGTTGTCAAGGTTATTTCAACGTGGACATTAATTGGCCATGGTATTGGTCAAGGACACATGAGAGACTTGACTGGAGAACAGATTGTTTACTTTCAGTTTGGTTAGGCAGATAGTCAATAGTTGTTAACGATTATCCACCATGTTTGTTGTACCACTTTATACTATTTAACGATTTACTGGCAAACGTGTCTGTGACCGATATAAACAACTCAAAAGAAGTTAAAAACACCCGATTCTTTCATAATACTAAAGTTAATCTGTCATGATTCTTTCCTACAATTAAAGTTAACCTGTCATGACAAATTAATATAGTAATAGGAAGGAATCGGGCATTCTTTGATTTCTTCTAATCTCTAACCACTTCATATTAATCCCCTAAAACTATAGACTATACCCCCCCAAAAAAAACTTTATACAATTAACCAATATGTCTCTGTTCCAAGAATCAAACATATCTGACACGAAACATGATAAAAAACGGCTGGACAAAAACATTTTGTGATCGTATCTTATTATTTGAGAAAAAACGTATACGGAGAACTATTTGTACCACGCAACAGTGATCAGCTTGTTATATAATATATATTACAGTTTAGAAAACATGTATGCGTCTTCATAATGGCGGGTGGTACCTTTTGTAACGAAGTAAACAATATATCCATGACAGAATAAAACCGACAAAGCCAAGCCAAATCTCTAGATATACATGCTAAAATATAACGATTCTCATTTACACTCTTTGGATGAAACAACTATGAAAACATCATAAGGCTGTTGTTTAAGGCAAACTGCACTTTCTCTTCAAACAATAAATCTATGATGCAGTTAATACGACTAGTTAATATACTTTGCTAGAACATGGAATTAACAGTGAAACCTCATTAACTCGAAGTCCCAGGCGATAAAGTACATGTCGAGATGTCTGTAGTTCGACCATAATGCTGTTTATGATGCTACGGGACCATGCGGTTACATTGTCGAGATAACGGGGATCGAGATAACGGGGATCGAGATAACGAGGTTTCACTCTTCGTGTGAATCATTACAAGGTAAACTATGCTTTCATTCAGCTATTCTTACTTTCACATCAACTCATACTTCTAAATATTCAACGACATTAACTATTGTGTACAAATTTATAACAAATATCTTCGCAGAAATATAATCATCAATTGTGTACAGCCAAGCAATTTTTCTATAAATTGGTATTTGTGTTCTCTGTTGAAGAATTAGTGTTTATACGAAGAAGTCCTTTTCGCACAATTTCACATTTGACATCGTTCTTTTATTACTAATGTGGTATATCACACTCATAATGTACTTGAACAACAGCGTTTGACCACCACATTAATGTCTCAGTGTTTCTAGTATGGCCTGTGCACAGAATCACACAATATATAAAGAGCTGATCCAGCTTTTAGATCAAAGCGCAAATACATGGTCATACACTTCACTGTATCACACACTTTGTTTCTGCTGCAGCTACCCGCGGCTCTGGTTCATCTGCAGGTTTCTGGGTATTTGTTCTACTCTGTGCCACCAACAGATCTGTTCTTATACTCGGCCTCCTAACATTCGGAGCAACTGCTCCGCAAGCATCACTCATCTTTCTCCGAATGGACATCATCCTTCCTCCTGTAGGCGACCCCCCTTGACCAACATACGTCGGATGGACCTTCCTGTGTAAGGAGGGACTCATTTCGGTGGGGAGTTTAGCCGTCTGGAAGAGTCTGAAAAACACATCATCAATGTTGATGTTCTTCTTTGCAGAGGTTTCCAGATAGTCACTGCTGTCTTGTCCTTCCAGAAGCTTGGCCACCTCCCTGGGATCAATGACCCGGTCTTTTTCCTTGTCACACTTGTTCCCCACGACAACCATGGGGATATTGAGGAGCTTCATGGCCTTTCTGGTTCTGCACTGCCTCTTGCATTCAAGGATCTGTTCCTTCAGGCGACATACTTCCTCAAATGACTCTCGATTGTCTATACTGTATACCAGGATGAAGAGATCACCTAAAGATGAAATACATTTTGTAAGTGATTTAGATTATATAAATTTGCAATCACGAACCGTATAACACATCATAAAAACAATCATCTTAACATGGAACTACATAAATGATCAATAATCCCATACCCTTGATCATCCGGGGTAGAATAGGTCTTCATCAACCCATGCTTGCCGTAAAAGGCGACTAAGCTTGTCGTTAGAGGCAACTAAAGGGATCAGGTGGTCAGTCTCGCTGACTTGGTTGATGCATGTCATCGTATCCCAATTGCGTGGATCGATGATGTGAATCACTGGATTCTCTGGTCCAGACTCGATTATTTACAGACCACCGTCATATAGCTGGAATAGTGCGGAGTGGGGCGTTAAACAACAAACAAACAAACATGTATATATGTTTTTGTATGCACTTTATCTAAAGCCATAAATATATCAATTAAGGTAACGTAAGTTAAATATTGGCGTCACCTAAATATAAGATAAATTTATCTAAGTGTGTCATCTTTATGTAGAAGGAGAAGTTCGAAGGTGCGTACCTCTTTGGTGAAACCTACGAGTAATGGTACGGTGATTTGAGCAAATCTGGGTTTCAGATACGGCGACAAGCGGTAATGACACAGCCATGTCTCTATCATCGACTGAATAAATGTGTATTTCATAGTCTTAAGGTAAGGGATGGACTATTACACAATAGGGGATGGGGGAGTGGGTAAGTTGGGGTGTTTGTCATTTGATTGTCAATTTCACAAAAAAATCACTGCTGATTTTGTATGATCGATTGAGATCGAAGCAGCGTCGATTTCAGTTAGACTTGACAAGTTTCTTCAAAATGGTTTATTGCTCTATTTCTATGTACCCCTCCCGCTTCCAGAATATCAAACATTTCAGTAAAAGCAGCAAGAAAACTACTCCTTTCTGGTGCTGTAATGTGACTGACACACACTGGCTTTTTCGTGCATTTTGTCTGTCAAATTATTCATCGATTGAAATGAATACATGTAACTTCAGGCTTACAAAAGGAATAATATCAGCCAAAATGCATGAAAATGTATTATTCATCATTTGTCTTTTACGTCTTAATGTTGATTTCCTTCTTCTAAATATTTCAAATAGTATCTACCGTCGCTATGAACATTGATCGCTACAAGTACGAAGTAAAGAGGTGTCATTTCTTCAAACATATCTGTATCAACTATAATAACTCGTCTTTATTGACAACTGACAAATTGCATGTAAATTCAAAACTGGAAATTTTAATCACGTTCAGGCCTAGAACAATACCGCACATTAAATAAACCAACGTATACAAATCTTTCAAAAATATGTAATCTAAAACATCAATTCCAGACAACAATCAGTCTCGATGTTCTGCCGAAACAGATTTCATTTGGCGAAAGAAATATTGTCTGTACTAGTATACAACTGGTAACCTTCTACTAACTAAAAGTCTCAATCTGCAACCGTTATAACTGATAAGCACGTTGACTGTCATTTTATGTTCTCTCTCCAGACGGTGAACCACTCCATGTGACCCATGATCGGGATATTCTTCAGCAGATAATACATTTGCATTAGTTATTCGATCCAAGCTCGGCCATTTTTTATTAGTTTGCATTTCCCTTGTCTATGAAATGAGCAAACAATACAAAGCAACAACATAATATATTATTTTCAACATGTTGAACTACATGTCACTTAGTCCCACATCAAATTTCAAAACACAGTAGGTTTATCTCCATTCTACCATGACGGCAATAATGCTTTGAAAACGGCGCTCTCTTGCAACGTGTAACAACACAGGCACACAGGTCCGCAATCTTAGAACATTCCGAAAAGTGGTCACAGGTGGATATAATGTAACAATTATTACTAAAGTTCAAGATTAAAAACACCATAGTCGTGAGTAGTTCAAAATAAGTGTTCAAAACACATAGTTTTTCAAAAGAAGTTGACAAATAACACTCCAAACCTTGTCCAAAGACAGATGTTATAATTTCTTCCTACTTGTTGTACACTGTTGTACACTGTGGACTGACTGTCAATTCTTGAAATTTTGCGAGAGAGGTCATTTCTTGGAAATCGAACATGCCATCATTTCTATTGTAGGGTTGACAGGTTGTAGAAAAAGGTTTTAAAATGCTAAAGGAATATATTTCCTCTTTGAGTGGCATTTAGAAGTTGGTAACTAAGACAAAATTGTTATGGATGAGCAACTTCTTTATTACAATTGGGCGACGTTTCGGCGTAGAATATATTTCTACAACAAACTTTTTGAATTAACATTCTATTATACATTCAATATGTGTAAGTGTTATTAGTTAGTTACCAATTACCCCCAGTAAACAATAATAACATCAAAACAAATGCCTCTCCCCCCTGAACTTGGATGTGACAGAACTTGACCTACATCACGGTTACTCACACCTCGCAGCTGTCAATTGCTGACAATCTTGTGTTTACAATCTCCGTTGCTAGTAAAATTAAGCAAGATGACAACCCCGATCCATGATTTGGTTCAACATTAACTTGTAGATTTACTGGGAATGATCGAGCCTGCTCGTACAATATGATTACCAACGGAACTGAGTATGACTGAAAAGCCGCTTTTTAGCCTGCAGACGAGCCGGACATTTTGACACGAGGTAGGGCCTATCTCAGTATCTGCATGGTGTGACCTGTCTATTTCCAGATTTCATGGATTCCAAAACCAGAGTGTGAATGGGACATTCGTGGCCCAGACATAGTGGGTCGTGTATGATTTTCTTAATTGTGTGTGTTCTGAAATCAATTTCATCAAGTTTGACTTCAATGATGTCGGGATATTCGAATGGACAAGTGTTTTCTGAGTGAAGGACTTTCAAATTCTCTTCTGCCAAATCCTTATGATGGTGGTTGACGGAGATAGCGACGAATATCGATCACAAATAGGTTTGTAAATAACATGTTGTAATGAATAAAGTTTTTTCAAACAATTTTTATAATGTTATATTTTACTTTCATTGATTCAATGAGAAAATAGCTGAAATTGTTCCGATTCTGGTCACCATAGAACATTTCCCTAACAGTTTCATAAACATTTCATCTGTATGCAAAAGATATGCCTTCGTTAAATCTTTTAATGTCATCATCGAAGCAGTCAGGCTGTGGCCTAGCCAACGCCAAAAACATCCGATATCAAACTACCGTATTTCCTCTATTTGATGCTATGTCGTCTATTAATTTCGCGAGAGTCCTTGACTCGGCGGGTATTAGAAACCTGGCTGGTATTAGAGACCCAGCGTGCATTAGAGGAAATATAGATACGTTTTACAGTTCATATGGGGGTGATCGATCGGCAGCCATTTTCTATGAATTGATATGTAGGCTATCCATGTATTCATACGCACGTTTTTTGTGAAAAAGCTTAATATATTTGAAAGGTGTTTCAGTAGCAAAAAGGAGACCTCCTTTTAACCAATCAGAATCAAGCATTCATCAATGTCATGGTAGAATGTAATATAACATATTAATATGGTATAGTTCAATGCGGGGCACTGGTGGCCCAGTCGTCTAAGGCGCCGCGATTCGCTGTGCAGAGTTGCGTCCCTTGGGCACGCCAGAAACCTATGATTGTGGGTTCGAATCCCGGTTCGCCCCGATTATGTTTCTAGGTTTGTCAGCACTATACCCGTGCTCGTGGGTTTCACCGAAGTGGTAAACGTCTGAGACCTGCATTACTTCGGCCTTTCCTCCCACATTAAGCGGACACGCCGTGATACAACTCACTCACTATAGTTCAATGCCTACATTATTGATACATCTACCTCTTTTAACATACGATGTAGTTTATTATGATACTTCAGCCGGATATAGAGAACACGACAATATGCAAATATAAGTAAAGAAATACATACTTGAATACAAACTATTGCCATGAGACCACAGGGTCTATTAACAACACCATCCCGTCCCGAATCAATATAACACTTAAGCATCAGCCACGAATACATGACAACATGGTGCTTTTTGACAGTAATTTCCCTTTCATTGCTTGTCATGCAACAAACGTCAGCTTGACAGAAATGAATATGGTTCCCCATCACCTTGACAAGGAAATGAACATCTCCCCATCACGATATTCCCTTGCCATATAAGCTATTAATGTAATTACATGTTGTTATTGGCTACAACGGGGCTGTGCCCTACAACCAGAAGAAACACGCCATATTGATACACAGATATGTTCCCGGAGAGACAGATGAGTTTCCATATGTATGAAATATTGCTGTCTGACCAAAGTAATTGACATGCCCTTCATTCTTGTGGCGTATACTGTAAGAAATTACCCTGCTACCCAAACATTAGGCTGAGAGGGGACGGTGGAAGCTTTGTTGAAACTGACAGCGTTTCCCAATGGAACCCTTGAACACTGTTAACGTTATCAATACTTGAGTTCATGTGGAGGTTAGGGAAACATAATGTAAGGCCACTTTCCGGTATAAGGCGTGCAGTGTTTGTAAACATCAGCGTAATTACTTTGGTGTCTTCAAACTTGTTTACATCAAATACCAGTCGAATGATGCCAGTCACCCCTCACGTCCTCATCTTACTATTGGGAATAATTGCCCGATAACCTGGATATTGTGTTCATTATAGGTGTGTTTGATGACACCAGGGTAAAAACAAGTTACAATATGGTGATGAAAAACGCTGAGGATGAGTGAGTGAGTATGGTTTTACGACACATTCAGCAATATTTCAGCAACATCACGGCGTGGAGACTAAGAAGGGCATCAGAGTTTGTACCCGTATGATTGGTTGGTTGGTTTATTGTTTAACGCCGCACTCAGCATATTCCAGCTATATGACGGCGGTCTGTATATAATCGAGTCTGGACCAGACAATCCAGTGATTAATATCATAATCATCGATCCGCGCAATGGGATACGATGACGTGCATCAACAAAGTCAGCGAGGCTGACCACCCGATCCCGTTGGTCGCCTCAAACGACAAGCATAGTCGCCT